TCTTGCTTGAAGTTTTTAAGTAGTAAGTATGTTTCATTCAATAGTAATGGTCACTAGTTCCAAAGTTATCAAGATCTAGGTGTTGCTATTCCCATTTTCACATAAGGAAACAAAAGGCTCAGAAAGGTTAGGGGACTTGGTCACACAGCCAGGAGATATTGGAGTCAGGAGCCGAACCCACCTCCGGCTTTGACCTTGCATAATACCCATCCCACCACCAAAGAGGAGAGATGGAAACCAGAGGGACAGGCTTTTATTTTTTTTATTTCCTCTTCCTGTCCTGTCTACCTGACACTTCCCAGTGTGCCCCACCAGAAGGAGCGGGATTTGGGTTTCGTCTTTACATTCTTGCTACTCAAAGTTGAAGCATCAGCATCACCTGGGAGCTTGTTAGAAATGCAGAATCCCAGGCCCCACCCAGACCTCCTGAATTAGAATCTGAGTTTACACAAGCTCTCTGGGGACATGTGTATGCACCAAAGTTTGAAAAGCCCCACTCTGCATGCTCCTCCTCCCCAGCTGCAGCCCCGTGGCTAAGCCTTAACAGCAGGCCCGTGCTGGAGAGAAGGGTGAGCCTCATCCCAAGAAGACCTAAATTTAAGTAAGATAACTCACAGGGCTTCCTGGGTTTCACTGGCTTTTAAAACCTGGCTCTAGGTCTAGCAAAATTATAAAATGGAATATAAAACAGATTTGTGAGCCTGGAAGAACTAGTTGCTGGTTTACGTTTGGAACCCATTGTGAGTTCACTATGAGAAAAAAAAATCATTGATCAGATTTTCTTTTTAGGAAAAGTCATTATATTGAACTGATAGCAAAGAATCTCATGAGATAATACAATGGTGAGATATTGTTGAAATGACAGCTGAATTGATTCCAGGCCTGATAAAATGATCATATAGGTGATTGTAAAGGTCTCCCTGTCACCCAGCTTGGGGTGAAGTCTGTATTGCAGCATCTCAGGGCTGTGTTTCCAGCCTTCTCCTGGTCAAAGTGATTATTTGTGACTTTGAAGACATCAGGGCCATTTCACTTGAATTTATTCTTACAGACATAATATAGCTACAGTTCATGGCAGATAGGTTACTTCATAATCAGGGTCTATTAAAAGTGTAGCAAGTCATTTCATGGAAGCCTTCAGGCAAACTCCAGGCCAGATGTATTCTTTCTCTTAGAGCCAGGTTAGAAAAACTTGCTCTAATAAACCTCACAGGCAGTGTGGACTAAAGACAGGGCTGGGCAAGGAGTCCATCCCCAGTACAGGAAATAAGGGGTCTTTACATAGAATTCAAAGCCAACAATAATAAAAATCAATCTATTTTTTATTGTCACCATGCACCAGCAATCCTAGACCACATAAGGGATAAAACATTCCTTCTTTTCCCCAAAATTTATGTGGGTCTAAGTTCTGAAAATTTGCTATTGGGTAAACTTCATGTTAGCACATTTTAAAATTACTTATCCTTTAATAAACACTGTATTCCACTTGGAAGGTAATTCTGAGGACCCTCAGTTATATAGTTAGCTCCTAACACACATTCCCAGCTATATGTGTTTTGTTTTAAGCATTAAGTTCGTAAAGTTCAGTGCATGTCTCCAACCCTATGATGCTAAAAATTCCCACACTTTAAGGGGATTAGAAATAAGCAGTAATTGCAAAGATGAAGAAACAGAACTTCTGTTATTCTAGGTGATCACCTGGAATTTTTATTTGTATTCGAAATCTAAAACAGTGAAACAGAATGAGAACTGTGACATGCAAAGTTTTTGTTTGGTAGCTCAAATTTCAGTGTATACATGAAATATGAATACGTCAATATATGTATATGAATAAAAAGATGAGGATATTATACTAGAATATTCTAAAACATCAATTTGGGCATAAAATATTAGAGCAATCTTAATGTGGGGTTGCACTCTGATGGTAACCCCTGGAACAGAAAAGCATGGAGTTACAAGTGACAGGCAGCACGATTATGCTTGCTTCTAACTCTTCCCTTTCCAGACCACTTCCTGGCTCTCCTCCCTTTCTTTCCTGCCTTGGGTTTGTGTTCCTGGTCCGGGTCCGAAGACCTGAGAGGTGGGCGTCTGCCCCTCCTTCCTCTTTCCCAATCTAAGACATACTTTCAAATTTGCAGATGACTCAAGGCTTAGCACACCAATATAAAAGATGACAGAATGAAAATTCAAAGTGATCTCGCCAGTTTGGAATGCTACACGGAAAGCATCCAGACAGGGACAAAGGTGAAGGCTCCAGTTCAAGTTAAACAAGTCAGTGTCGGGAAGGAACTTCTGAGGTTGATGGATATGTTTATTATCTTGATTGGAATAATGGTTCTGTGCGTAGATGCATATATCAGAACCTATAAAATGTACCTTTTAAATACGTGCAGTATATTATATGTCAATTATACCTCCATAAAGCTATCTAGAAAATGCAACGCCCTATGGGCAAACAGAGGGAAACTCTGAGAAACCTTTGAGGACACTCCAGAGATTCTAGTGATTATATTTTTAATTCGACCTTAAAGTAATGTGAGTTTTTCAAACTGATGGAAGCACAATGTTGAGGTCCAGGAAGTGTAAATAGCACCATATCTGGATACTATGTTCTGGGCACCATGATTGTGAAGTGCTGACACCTAGGGTCTCACAGTTGAATGTCCAGGAGACACGATTTGGAGCCTTCCTGGGACTCAATCTACTCGGATCCTTCAGCAATGAACCAGCCCCTGCTAACAAGCCTCAAATTCCTTTGAGAGAATGCAATCTAGATTCAAGACAGAGGAGAGAAATTTATAGCTCCCCATCTCTAGGGGTTTAGAGATGTCACTAAATGGTCAGGGTTCCACGTAAACCCCATGTGCTCTATCCTGCTTGGGCACTCGTGACAAATGACCTTCTTAAGCAGCGTACACCCTCTGCTTAGTTATAATGGGCTGTGGATTCTGTGCAATTCCAAGTATGCTAGTGTAATTCTACTCCTCCTCTCTCACCAGAAAAGCTTAAGGGAAGGCTGGTGTAGAGTAAGGAAGATGTTGTTAGAGGATAACCTTGAATTTGCTCTAACTTACAAATAAGTACTGACCTTTCACGCCCTTGAGCACTTTATGATTATTAAGAAATTACTAGCAACGTATCTCATAGCAGATGAGGCCATAGCAGTGTGTTGAGTTGGCCAGCCAGAGGCTGAAAACTTCCAGCCCTCTAGGAATCCCAGGATGTAGCTTAGACCAGCAGCCCATGCATTGTGCTCAGCTGGCTCTACACTCGTCTCTCCCCTTCTAGATGCTGTACTGGGACCACCGGGCCTGGCCTTCAGGCTGTTCCTGGAGTCTGACCCCAGGCAATGGCCACCTGATCTTATGCTATACCCACCTTCCTTTGGCTGTAGGGACCTGCTGCAGGAATGTCAGAGGCCACCAGAATGGTGGGAGAATTCCAGAAACCATGTAGTACAAGGAATTATTCTAGGATTTGGGAGCATTTAACTTGGAGAAAGGAAATGAATGAGCAGCAAGGCAGGGGTCTTCAAATTCTGGCAAAACTGACCTGGCCAGGCTTGTTGCATGGGGCGAGGATCCAGAGGGACAAATTAGGGTACAGGAGTGTTTTCTGGGAAGGCAAATTCAAACTTAACACATAGAGGACGTTTGCAACAATTAGGACTGGCCAACAACTAACTGACAGTTCCTAGAAACAGTGAACTCTTCTTCACTGTTGGAATTAGAAAATTCTTGGTCAGGGATGGACACAGGGATTTCTGTGCTTGGATGTTCTGTGAAGTTTCTTCCTCCAGGCTTTGCAATTCTGTGATTCCAAAAAGACCCTGTTTACTTATACTTTCGAGATCCCTGTTTAGATTGCTGACTCCAACCTGAGTTTACATATCCACTTCCTCCCAGGGAGCTCAGCACTTTCCTGCAAGTCACTGAACTTGTTTTCATCTTTTTTTTTTTTTTTTTTTTGCTTCCATGGCAGGGATTTCTCTTCCCTGCATTACAGGAACGTGCAGTTGGGGCCCAGAGATATAGGATCACATCAGATTGCACTCAGTCTGGCTGTCAGGTTACATCTTAAAATATGATTCCTGTGTATCCTGTTCCATTTGAATGGCAGGTTTAACATGGGGACATGTGGCTCTGTAATGGGAACACTGGGGGGCCGGAAGCACAGGGTTAGGAGCCTCATCTTCCTGTATATCTCTCCCTCACCCATGGAATGGGCATGCATTATTCCTCCTCATCACTTCCAGCCTTTCTGAGCTGGGAGAATACATCCGATGACACTAGTGACATCCATAACCTTGTAATTCTTACTGTTGCAAAACACACAGAACTGGCACATATAGTGTGTAGACCTCCTTTCATGTACACCACTATCCTACTTCTTATCTCATCATATTGTAGATAATTATGTTTTGAGAGCCTTTTGGGAAGGGGACATTATGTTCAACAATGAGAAGGACATGTCACACAAAATGCCTCCTCCCAGGACACAGTGCGGATGACCTGTGACTTTTGGCCAGGGTACTATAAGGAATTTCAGCCCATTCCCTTGGCCTGGAAGACTTCCTGTGTTTCTCAGGTGTCTTCTCCAGTGTGTTCCAGGAATATCTGGTGCTCCCCTGTCATGGTCTTGTCACACTGCATGGTGACTGCAAGTTCAGTAGTTTCTCTGGTGAAATCTGTGGCATTCCCAGTGTCTAACACAGATGGGTCATGAATGTACTCTTGCCTGAATTGAACTGAAGGGCTTATATGCAGAGGGCAATAGCGGCCCCCTCATCAGGGTCACTTGAAAATATCTGCTAAATGGATAGTTATAGCTGGGAGGGACCTTTGGAAGTCCAAGTTCCTCATTTTGAAAAGCGGGAATCTCAAGTCTAGAAAGACAAGGACTGGCTCACTAAGTCAGTATCGGAGCCCGGGTCTCCCACCAGCCAGCATGGTGCCCTTTCCACTGTGCCCCCCGGTCACGTGTCTGCTCCTCATTTGCAGCCTCGTTAACTTTGTGTGCCACACATGCTTCAAGAGGCAGGAGAAGCTCCATCGCTGCGGGCAGTGCAAGTTTGCCCATTACTGTGACCGCACCTGCCAGAAGGACGCTTGGCTGAACCACAAGAACGAGTGTTCTGCCATCAAGAGATACGGGAAGGTGCCCAATGAGAACATCAGGTCAGAGCGGGGCCTGGAATGGTGCTTGGGATTCCCAAATGTCAGGCTGGGGCTGGGGACAGTGACACCATTCCCAGGCCCAAGGAAGCCAGGCCAACTGCAAATCAGGAAAGAGCCTCAGAGAGACTGGATCTGGTCACTTCTGTTCATGCCCTTCATGTCTTGGAGGGAGAACCGGGTGTCTACAGCAGTGACCCCAAACTGTAGCCGCTGCTGGAGCCAGCCTGCGGACTGCTCTTGTGTGGCTCTCCAGTGCTTGGTATTTTAAAACTGGCCCACCAATGTTTACAAATTGGGAAATTTCACATTTTAAAAATTAGGGTTTCTGGCTTCTGTTGAAGAAAAACTGAAGATCTGGCAAAATGGGCTGGAGCCTAGGGTGAAGTATGCCCCTCCTGTCTCACCCTCAAGGCCTGTGCTCTCTGGGTCCTCTCCTGTGCCTTTTTCCTCCCTCTCTTCCCCCAGAGCCCTCTCCTTCCTGCCAGGCCAGAGCCCTCCCTGCTTCCTGGCCGTGCATGCCGGCGCTGCCTCCGGGCCTTTGCTCACACTGTTTCCCCACCCCAACCGCCTTCTCCACTTTGTTTCTACCCAATCATTAAGAATACAAGTAAGTTCACACGTGACACAGACATCTATTACCTCCTTTTGTCTCCTGAATACCTCTGGAGGGCAGCATAGCAGCGAAAATTGTCCCTTCTTTACTGGCCACCAGATAGGTTCAGGGAGGTCAAGCGACTTGCCCAGGCTCACACAGTAAGAAGTGGAAACGGTTCGTCCAACTCCTTGTCAGCGTTCATCCCAGGAAGACACACTGCCAGGAGAGACCCAGGTTGCCACGCCTCTCTGCGTCCCCAGGCCCCCTGTGATCCAGCTCCTGCCCACCTCTCTGCCTTTATCTGGTCTCTACTCCTTGCTCCCTGTGCTCCAGCCACCCCGGTCCTCTTGCTGTTTCTCCACCATGCAGCGCTCGTTCCTCCTTCAGGGCCTTTGCGAGTGCTGCTCTCTTCTCCTTATGTGCTCTCCCCCAGCCTTACAGGGCCTGCTCCGTCTGTCCTTCCAGTTGTAGCCCAAACGGGCCTCCTCCTGATACCTCCCCCTGCCCCAGATGGCCGCAGCTTCTCCTCCTCCAGCCACTGTCTGTCCTGTCACCCTGTTTTATTTTCTGCATAGTACTTACTACTTAAAATGATCTTGTTTACCATGTCCCACCCACTATAAGAAGCATCACGATAGAAGAAATTCTATCCATCCAGTTCCAAATTGTATCTTGGGCCCAGCACTGTCCCTGGAATGCATCAGACACCCAGTGTTTGTCAAATGAATGAATGAATGCATGCATGCATGCAGTGGTGGCCTCCCTGACACTGCTCTCTCCACAGGCTGGCAGCGCGCATCATGTGGCGGGTGGAGAGAGAGGGCACCGGGCTCACAGAGGGCTGCCTAGTCGCCGTGGATGACTTGCAGAACCACGTGGAGCACTTTGGGGAGGAGGAACAGAAGGAGCTGCGGGTGGACGTGGACACGTTCTTGCAGTACTGGCCGCCCCAAAGCCAGCAGTTCAGCATGCAGTACATCTCGCACATCTTCGGAGTGGTAGGGCCCTGGGTGCCCTTCTCTGCCCTCCCTGACCTTCTCCCCCTTCCTTCCCTGCTCCCCCTTTGGGAGGGTGGTGTTTTTTCAGAGGTGAACAGCTCTAAAGGGGAAGCCCCATTGGCCCTGGACAATGACTTCTATTTCCATAAAGGTTGTGTCTCCCCAGGCAGCCAGAGGCTCTGGGGATGTCTGCCCTCAGTTTACCAGACGTAGCAGAACCACCTACTCACCCTTCCATTTCTGAGCCCAGGGACAGGCCCCTAAATGACGCAACTAAAAAAATCCAGAGATTCTAGCATATGAGTCCTCTTAAAGGAGGTATGTTGGTGACAGCTGGGATTGTCCAACTAAGGAGTTTCCAGAAGCTGCCATGCCAGAGGAGAGGCCAAGAAAGGACTGAATGGGGACAGAAGCTGAAATGAAGAACTCACATTTCATACTCTATTTTTCTGGCATCGTCTACTATGGGATCATTCCTGCCCTATATGAAATCGGCATCCCACATACAAACTTTTATTTATTATCTCCGGATGGTAGATTTAGATGGTAATTTATCTTCTTGCTTATCTGTGCATTCTAAATTTTCTTCTCTCCGCATTGAAAACAAAGACCCACAATCACCATCCCTTCCTGCCCATCAGTTACTTTGGAAGCCTTTGCCCAGGTCTGCCAGGCAGGATTGATGGGGACCAGTCGGGGGAGGGCATGAGCCAGGGAGAGGGGAGTCAGGGCTTGGTGGCTGGAGCACCACAGCCAGGAGAGGCTACAAGAGTCCAGAAGGTGGGGTTGGGCGCCTGGTGGATCAGGAGGCCCAGGCCCGGGTCTGTGGTCTTCCATCTGGCACGCCAGGCCCCTTACGTGGTAATGGCGAGCAGGCTGTTGTCATAGCAACAACAGCATGATCACACTTAACATCTCCCCAGTCTTCACCCTGTGGAAAGAGAGATTGTGGAGGCTTGGTGAGTCTAAAATCTGCAGGATAGGCCAGCAGGCTGGAGGCCCACGGAAGAGTGGCGAGTCCAAAGGATGTCTGTTGACAGAATTCCTTCTTGCTCAGCTGGGATCAGCCTTCATTCTAGTAAGGTCCTCAGCTGACTGGATGAGGCCCACTCACATGATGGAGGGCACTCTGCTTTACTCAAAGATCACCAATGTAAATGTTAATCTCTTGCAAAAAACACCTTCACAGAAACATAAGAATGTTTGACCGAACACCTGGGCACCATGGCCCAGCCACGTTGGCACATAAAATTAACTACCACGGGTTCCCATATATTATTTCATGCAGTCTTTACAACACGAGGTGAGGTCCATGCTTTTAACATTTCTATTTTATAGAAGAGAGAACATAGGCCCAGAGAGGTTATTTGACCTCTGAAGGCCACATGGCTATCCAGTGTCCAAGGAAGGTCTAGCAGCAGTGTGTGCTCTCTGGGGCCAGAGCTTCTGCTCTTAATTGTTGTGCTCTGTCGCCTTGGGGTGAATTTGTGTGTTAGACCAATCCTGAACATCTTTAAGTGGCCCAGGGACTAGGGCCACAGATGGCCTAATTACCAAAGGTTAGAGCTGAAAGGATCCTTAGAGCTCATCTAGTACAACTTACTCAACCAGCAGATAGGAAAACCAGAACTCAGAGAAGAAAGAAATTTGCCCAAAGTAATACAGCTTGTTAGGGGTCCTCACAGGCTGAACGTCCTACACTTGCTAAGTGTCCTATGAGAATAAATGGAGAAGGTGACACTGCTCCAAATCTGTGACAAACAGCCACGTGAGTGCACAAATGCATACTGTGTTCATATATGTATTATATATAAAGTAGAAATTCATGTGCAGTTATTAATATATTCTAGGTTATATGTATTCTTATGCATTTTTCATATCATAAGCACAGATATTTGGAATCTGTTTCTATAAACAACTACTTACTTTTAAGGAAAGGAAAATGAATTGAATCCTACATGAGTAACAACGGATTTGATGCACCTTGCATTTCAGAGATAGGTGTTAAATATGGCACTCACCAGATTTTAAAATGTGAGTAGGGAGTATAAAACTATCCCCCTGACACAAAATAACTCCGAAGAGATGTCAATTTTGTTTTGTGAACAGCTATAGGAGTTGAGGGTGAGTAGGCAAAGGAGGCAGGGGAGGGAGAAGCAGGCACACACACACACACACACACACACATTCACAGCAGGGCATGGGGAGAAAAACCATGGCAGATACTAAGGAAGCCTCATATCAGATCCAGATATGGAAAAAGGGGAATATTTTCATCTTTTTTTTTTTCTTTTTTAGACGACAGAGTCTTACTCTGTTACCCAGGCTAGAGTGCTGTGGCATCAGCTTAGTTTGCAGCAACCTCAAACTCAAGTGATCCTCCTGCCTTAGCCTCTTGACTAAGCTAGGACTACAGGCATGTACCACCAAGCCTGGCTGATTTTTCTATTTTTAGTAGATACAGGGTCTCACTCTTGCTTAGGCTGGTCTCAAACTCCTGAGCTCAAGCAGTTCTCTTGCCTCAGCCTCCCAGAGTACTAGGATTACAGGTGTGAGCTACTGTACCCAGCCTCCATTTTCATCTTTGGCCTTTTTAGAATACAACCACCAAAAACATGCAAGGGTTACAGTTTTTGCAGATATGGGACTCTCCCATAGTGTTAATCTTGGGAGTCATTTGGAGTTATGTAGAGAACAGGGAACTAATTGTTTTATTTCCAGACTTCAGGGCAAGACTGGGTCTTCTGTTTTTTTCAGCTCCCTTTCAACAGCTAGAATGGTGTTCTGTTCCTACTCTGTGTCTGTTGACTGACTCTTTTATCTTTTCCTGTGGTAGATTAACTGCAACGGCTTCACCCTCAGTGACCAGAGAGGCCTGCAGGCAGTGGGCGTGGGCATCTTCCCCAACCTGGGCCTGGTGAACCACGACTGTTGGCCCAACTGCACCGTCATATTTAACAACGGCAAGTGAGTATGTCTTTAACTGGGGGTGTGTGATGGGCATAGGGAGACCTTATGGTATTTTTTCCACTTGACTTAAGCCAAAGTCGACCTGCTGAAGCTGGACTAGCATGGATTTCAAATGTACAGCAAATAGGAGCCTCATTCCAGAATAACTGTGGATGGGAGAAAGGTGTCAGGGAGGATATCAAAGAATTCAAAATGGGTTATTCCTGAGTCTTTGCATGTTTCTTGAGGCTTCCTAGATGTTTTAGGTAAACCTCTAACTACTATTTTAAAACTTGAAGCCTGGGATTATCCCTAGAGGTAGGTCATTGCAGAATGACATTGACTGAGGAGTGTGGCAGAAGTATGCTATTAGTCAAGGTCCCAGGAGGCACACTCAAAAGGATTTACTCTGATAGAATTTAATGAAGGGACAATTGGGTACGGTGGCTCATGCCTATAATCCTAGCACTCTGGGAGGCTGAGGTGGATGGATTGTTTGAGTTCAGCAGTTCGAGACCATCCTGAGCAAGAGTGAGACCCCATCTCTACTAAAAATAGAAAGAAATTAATTGGCCAACTAAATATATATATATATATATATATATATATGGTGGCACATGCGTGTAGTTCCAGCTACTCGAGAGGCTGAGGCAGGAGGATTGCTTGAGCCCAGGAGTTTGAGGTTGCTGTGAGCTGCTAGGCTGACACCACGGCACTCTAGTCCGTGCAACAAAGTGAGACTCTGACTAAAAAAAAAAAAAAAAGAAGTGTGGGCAGCGTTTAAGAAACTAACAAGGAATGGTGAGGTGCCAGGGTCTAGCAACATGTGAGACCATTACCACCCCTACATGTGGAGGGGCGAGTAAAGGAAATGCTGTTCCTGTAGCTGGTGAGTGCCAAGCATGCTAGGTGGGTCCCCAACTGCTCAGCTGTGGCTTACAGCTGCAGAGAAACCAGCCACTGCTGGAACCATGGAGCGGCAGAGAGGAAGCTAGTGGACTAAATACTCCAACCTCTCATTTCTCCCACCTTCTGATGTCCTCCTGTTGGCCAAACCCCAACCAGAGGCCAGAGAGCAAAGGAACTCGGGCGAGCAGCCCTCAGGGGTCAGCCCTCTGCCCCTAGGAAGGCTCAGATCAGTGACCTAAGTGCAAAGAATGAATCTTGGGGGTGGGACACAAGTGGATAAAAATCAATATATGGGATGAGCCCCTGTTTGTCTGCAGCTCAGCTTGGGGAGATGTGGGGGAATGAGGCCCAAGCAATATTAATTCCTTTTGCTCCTAGAGATGAGCTATCATGACAGATGCAAGTCTACTCTGAGCCATCAGTAATGAGCATGTTTCCCCTCAAAACTTCCTAGAAGCCAAAGACAATGGTTTCTGGTTCTCAGATGAGGATCCAGCTTAAGCTTTAACATAACAAGGACTCTGATTTCCCTTTTCCTTCCTATTTTTGAAACCAGGCTTTTAAGTAATTAAGAAAGTCTCTCAAGATGGGAAAGTTTATCTTGGACCCAGATGATAATCTTTTCTTAGCATTTGTGTTTCCCTTCCTAAGCCTCTTGGGGTCATTGGCCTGGACCTCATGGAATCCTCCCTGGAGGGCTGTTGTCCAAGCTTAACCTGCTTGGCCAAGAGGATCAAATTCAGCCACACATATGGCAGAGCTTTAGAGATGGTGGTCCCCTAAGTGGCTAAAACCCCTCATCTCCTGGGTCCAGGGCTCCTCTCATCAATGTGTGTAACAACCACAGGAGCCTAGGAGCTCTTTCCTCGGGTCATCTTCAGTGTTTGCTCTGCCTTCTTTGCATCTACTAATTTCTAGCACCCATGTTTTATCCAGGCTTCCTGGCTTTTGTGCAAGAAGGTGGCTTTGCAGTTACTGCCCAGCTGCCTGCCATAGTGGAAAGAACCCTGGACATGGGGTTAGGGGCCCAATTCTAACCCTGACAATTTTTACGTGCTACCTGCATGACCTAACCAGTCTCCACTCTCAGTCAAACTCTCCCCAAGACAGACATCCAAAGAGGCAACAGTTATTCATCCAGAATGCTTGTTAGTGGGATAATTATAACAACATCCCATATGTTTTTTAGGTGCATTGTCTCACAACAGTCTCATTACAGGTGAAGCCCAGGGAAGGAAAGTAACTTGCTCAGGGCTGAGTACCCTCTCTTTCTAAATTCAGTGTGCTTTCCACTATACCAGGCTGTGTCTTAGCCAATGGGAGCTGCTAGAGGGGCTGAGATAAAGGTTGCTGCAGTGACCAAAGCTTTGATTGTGTGTCCCAGAATGCTGTGCACCCTTGCTAGCCACACTGGATCAGCCAATGGTAATGATTTCCATTCGGGTGTCTGTTTTGTCTTTCAGTCATGAGGCAGTGAAAGCCATGTTTCACACCCAGATGAGGTGGGTCAGTCCTTCCAAGCATCCCTGCTCCTCTGACCCATCTCCCTCACTTGCCTGCTTTGCTGGGGCCCATTTCCAAGACTCCTTGGCTGTAGTCGGTCTGTGATGTCTTTCTGCAGCCCAGTGTCTCGTCTTCACTGAATGGTGTGTTTTTAATGATTTCAAATTAACAATATATTCCTTGTCCACACACCACATGCCTTGCCTTTGCTTTATTTTCCTTCCTTTCTTCCCCCTCTGTCACTCCTCACTTCCACTGCTTCTCCAGCCTCAGAGCATGAATCCTTCTAGTCCACACCATCTTAGCAGAAGTCTACATTGTCACCCTAAACCCTGCTTACTATGAGATGAGGACTGATGATATCATTGACCTATAAAGGACTGTGTCTGTTTGTAAGCCCTGACTGCTCACCCAGACACTATGCTATGAGAAAATAGCATCCTTACTGTGATATTTTGATAAATATCTATTCATAGTATTCTGTTTACCACTTCTGGTCAACTATAAATTAGTGGTTTAGGTTAAATTTTACTTTTGATGTTTTTTAATGACAATCCAATGGACACAGATGAGTCTTTTTCTCAGGCTGGGCTTGAAAGTCCTTGAAATGGTCTCTGGATTAAGAACAAAATGCTGTGTGGGAATTTGGGATTTGGGAAAGCAGGGGTAGGAGTGGCCAGTGTATATGAGCTGTGTTGGTGTGCACTGCATGTGACTTTGACGATGCACATCATGTCCTGGGCTTCGGTTCCACATCTGTAGAGCAAAGATCAAGAGGAGAGCATCTCCAGGGACCTTCCTAGTCCTCAGTCTCTGGGTTCTGGGCTCTGTTCCTAACCTCTGCAAGAAATACGTAAATAACTTGCCTACTTGTGGCTCCATTAGCTGAGCTATAGAATTGAAGAGTGTTGGGGAATGGAAGGGGTCTGGGGTCCAGAGTGGGAAAGAGACTCGTCCAAGGAAGCTGGTTGGAGGGAGGGACGTGGCTAAAACCCCTCATCTCCTGACTCCCACAGTGAGCTTATTCCGTGTTGGTGACCATTCTTCCTCCTCCAACCCCCCCTCCCCCCCGTTTCCAAGTAAGGTAAAATGGGGTGGACATATATACATTTTTTCATATTTAAGTAACATTAAGTTAATTTGGTTTTGAAAAATCTCTAATACCATTGATATAATGTAAGGCACCCTGAGATCTTATTTAAATTGTCAAACCATGATGGGAAGCAAAGTTACTGGAAGTTCCAACCCAGTTGTCCACTGAGTCACTGTTGAATTAGGATATGTCACTACAGTGAGCTGCCTCTGGAAAGGGGGCTAGTATGGGAAGAACTGGTTACTTACCCACCAGGGCCAGACACCAGAGATCCATACTCCACACTGGCCCAGGAGTTGCTCACACAGAACTATTTAGGACATTAGTGGAGTCCTAAAAAGCAAGGGCTTTGCTGCATCTAATTCCCTGTGCATCGATGACCTGGAAGGCAGCTTGGAAACAATCAGGCAAGGCCAGTATGACATGGGGAATCGTGAATGGCACTTGAGTTCCACTCCTGACTGTTGCCACAGTGTGTGGGACTTTGGGGGAAGTTGCTTACCTCTCTTGTGTCAGCATCCTCATGCGAGAATTGAGCGTCCCCTGAACTCAGACATACTAGGCTTCTAAGCAGAGCTGTGAGCAGAATCACACAGCATTCCTCTCCTACTTGCTTCTCATCACTTGCTACTGACAATTGGGGTGGGGAAGAAAGGAAAGAAAGAATAAGAGATGAGCAGACACTTAGGTTTTTCCAGCTTCCATGTGAGTTGTTTTCGTACATATTATCACATTTATTGGGCACATCAGTGTATCCCACTTTGGGAGAAGGTTTACCATCCTTAAGTGCTCACTTTAGATGCCTGGACATGCATATCACTGCCATCCATCAGTTGGTCCCTTGGGTGTCATCTCAGAGTATGGGGCTGCCTTTGACTGGGACCCTTCTGGAGTGCTGGAGTCTCCCCCTGCCTTTTGCATGTTGTCTTACTAAGCTTTTATGGGAGGTAAAAGAAATGGCTACAGACCTCCCTGCAGATTTTCTCCCCAGCCCTCTGCATCCTGCCACTTGCTGTCTGGGTGATCGTTTCACCCAGGCTGTGAGGCCCCAGGATCTTGGGGAGATACAGGAGAATGGCATAGGGCCCAGCTTGCAGGCCTCACCACTTGTTTTCTGCAGCTATTTGGCCTTGCCTGGAGGGTACGTGGCTGAACGGCCTCTGAGCTGGCCTCCACCTGTTGGGCTCAGCTGGTTGCCTTTCTGCAGGGGGCTTTTTCCTTCAGCACCTTCAGCGTCTATTACCTGGTAAGGTGGATAGCACTGTGAGATCAGGTCTAAGCCAGAAGGGAATTGAAATGCCATCTCTTCTTTCTAACCACCTTCAACCAATAAGCCATGTCTCCTAGCAAACACAGAAATAAACAATGTGGAGGGATGACAGAGCCAGCCTTTGTTTATTTGCCTTCACTGATATCCATTGGGCATAAGTCTCCTCATATAACATAGGCCTGACCCACTGGGCTGAAGTCAAGGTAAGAGGGAGCTTAAAGTTAGATACAGAGTGGGCCAAGACTGTGGGTAACCGAATGTGCATATGTTTCCAAGAGATTAGTCCCTAAATTAACCAGAAATGGTTTTTAGGTCTTTTCTTGTATGGAGTTTTTGCCTTATGACTTCTTCCTTCCTTTGTTACAGATGATCAGTAGCTAAATGTATGGGGCTGACACTGGGTGTGGAAGCTGTGTATGGTCTTGTGACTGAGCACAGCCCTCTACTGGGCGTCTATGTGACCTGATTCCAGAGCCATTAATGGAATGGAGCATATTTGACTATTATAACGAGTGGAGTAGAATTATCCAGAAAACTGTCCTTTAAGTCACGTTCCCCTTTTGAGGGGAATGGGAGTGTTCTCAGAGTGCTAGTGGAAGTCACTGTCTTTCGGACTCGACTTCATGAAGCCTTGGAGAGCACGAATCCATTTCCATAGGCCTAGATTCTACTTACTCTTTTTATTTTTCGCCCTGCCCCAGAATTGAGCTCCGGGCCCTGGGCAAGATCTCAGAAGGAGAGGAGCTGACCGTGTCCTACATCGACTTCCTCAACGTCAGCGAAGAGCGCAAGAAGCAGCTGAAGAAGCAGTACTACTTTGACTGCACGTGTGAGCACTGCCAGAAAAAGCTGAAGGACGACCTCTTCCTGGGGGTGAAAGCCGACCCCAAGGTACATGCAGCCCTGCCGCCCCAGTTTGTGGCTGTCTTCTGCAGGGGCCAGTCAAGGGTGGCTTCGCACCCCTGTCCAGAGCTTCCCGGGGAAGCAGCCGGTAAGCCCTGGGGAGGTGGCATGGGATGGTGGACGGAGCACTGCAGGTGGGTCCCAGCTAGTGTCCTGACACCACCACTTTGTGGAATTGCTCAGGTTTCTCAGCTGTTATGATGGCCCCACTACGAGAGGTTGTTGTAAGGATTAAGCAAGATGATGCATGCTTAAGGGACTGGCATACAGAAGAGACACTCCGCAAATGTTGGTTCCTCTCCCATTGCTCCTTTGCTGAGGATTAAGTAACGCTGAGCATTCAGCTATCAAGACCAGATGGGCAAAGAGATTTGTTGCCTGGTTATCGCTAAAATATTCCTAGTCCCATGGTGGTGGAAGATATGAAGACGGGGGGACGGGTTAGATGAGCTAACATCCTTAACTCATTGCTGGTTGCCATGAGCCCACTGAGAGGAGATCGCCAGAGCCAGGCTTGGGGGGGCATGTCAGGAGCTCAGCTCAGTTGGGAGAGGGAGCTGAGCCGCCAGGTGTCAGAGTGGCCAGTGAAAGCGACAAGCCAGGAATGAGAGTGAGGTCTTTAACCATTTACTGCAATAGTACAAGCAAGAAGCTAAAACCAGAGAAAGTGCTGACTCCCTTGGAGTGGTGCAGGAGCCAGAGGAGGGTCAGTGGATCAGCACAGTGGGAGCGTCTCTCTGCTGAGGAAGTCCCAACAAAAGTCGCTGACAGTTTTGTGGACCTTGAGGTTGGGAGTGACTGAGGGGGAAGGTATAGGAATGGAAAAGTACTGATATTGAGTCAGAGTGGGGGAAGTCTTCAAGCTTTCCCCCTCCTCCTCTCCTAAGGAGGCCAGATAAGAAAACCCCAGGAACAAAGGCACAGGGGCTAGGAGTGCAAATACGTGAAGAGCGTGACCAGCCAGGGGAGCCTGAGTCCTTGACTACGACCCCCCTCCGAGGGTGCCGGGCACTGGCTGTGCACGTGTCTGGTGTGGGGAGAGCAGGCTTCCCCCAGGCCTGCCAGGCAGAACCCTTGTGATTGCCTATGGTCAGGCCTGACAAATCCCACACAGATTTTTAATGAGGAGCCAGGCTCCTCAGGGGAAGTTAACTGAGCATTTCTGCATAACGACCGTCCACCTGTGCACACAGCTGTTCAGTAGGCTGAGGCGGGAGGATCACTTGAGCCCAGGAGCTTGAGTCCTGCTTGGGCAACAGGGCAAGACCCCACCTCTAAAAAAATACAAACACACAATTAACTTCTGCATTTTATATGTGGGCAGAAATTTGCCTCTGGTTAGAGCAAAGGCTACAAGCAAAACCGGCTCCTCAGTACAGCTGATGTGGCCCCCTCGATGACTTTCATTACTCAATGGTGTCGGCGTGAATGCTCAGATGACGCTGTTCCCTCCCTTGACTCATCTCTTCCTTCCATCCTCTGGCTATTCTAGATTTTTTTGCCATTAACTTATTTTTATTCTTAATATAGAATATTTCCCCCCCTTGACCAAGAAATTCTACTTCTAGGAATTTACCCTGCAGATATGCTTGCACATGTGCACAAAGATACATGTATAAAGCAGCATTGTGGCAGCACTGTTGGGACAACAAAATGTCGAATAAAAGCAAATAACTACCAATAGGGAAATATTTCAATGAAGCAAATACTCTGCAACTATTAAAATGAACAAGGTATACCTTTATGCACAGATATGGAATGAGCTCTATTTCTTAAGGGAAAAGAATTAAGAGACCAAACAATGCCACATGCATTAGTCTGCTAGGGCTGCTATAACAGAGTCCCACAAACTGGGGGATTTAAACAACAGACATTTGTCTCACAGTTTTGGAGGGTTGGTTTCTTCCAAGGGTGGTGAGAGAAGGATCTGTTTCAGACTTCTCTCCTGGGCTTGTGGATGGCCATCTTCTCTCTGTGTCTCTTCACACTGTCTTACCTTTATGCCTGTCACTTTCTCTTCACACGGCATTCTTTTTATAATGACACCACTCATATCGGATTAGGGGCCCACTCTAAACCAGTATGACCTCATTTAAACTAATTACATCAGCAATGACCTTATTGCCAAATAATGTCACATTCTGAGGTACTGGGGGTTAGACTTCAACGTACATGAATTTTGGGGGATGCAGTTCAACCCATAACACTGTGTATGCCCCCATTTATGGACATTACAAGGGGCAGACACACTCACACATGGACCCACAGCCGCCCATGGGGGTTCGAGCACAGTCCATACAGACAGATGTAGGAAAAGGGAGCTGTGACCGACAGGTCCACAATGCCTAGGGGTGGGGAAACTGAGAGTCGTCCCTCCCAGAAAGCAGCTGGGACCCAAGGATTAATGTATTTTCTATAAGAACAACCTCCTTGTCCCAAGTCAAAGGTTCTATATTCCAGGAAATGTATACGGGATACATGGGTGAGGCAGCCAGCGTAGTGTCGTAGGTGCGACAGCAAACAAGCTACTGCACCCTCCCTCACCCAGACCTTCAAAAGCTGCCCTTCTTTTTCCCTTCCAAAGTTAAACAAAACAACCATGTATTATTTCTCTGAATCTTTTGATGCTTACCTGGTATTTAAGCTGGTGATGTGTGGTCTTTAGTTCCTATACCTTCATTTTAGATATTCTGTTACCAGCTGGTGACAATATGCCCACGTCTTCCAGTCTGAATTGTGGAGTTGGCATCTTTCTGGATATGAAAGATGGATGATTTCTGATTGAGCCCACCCAGATTCAAAGCAGAAGTTTTCTATTATTTTTACATCAAATTAGTTTTCTCTATTCAAATAAATAACTCAAAAATAACTCACCTTTAAAAACTGGGCAGAAAAAATTAAGTGCAGTATGCCTTTTTAAAAGCAAATTCCTGGCCGGGCACGGTGGCTCACACATGTAATCCTAGCACTCTGGGAGGCTGAGGCGGGCGGATTGCTCGAGGTCAGGAGTTCGAAACCAGCCTGAGCAAGAGTGAGACCCCGTCTCTACTATAAATAGAAAGAAATTAATTGGCCAACTAATATATATAGAAAAAATGTAGTCCCAGCTACTTGGGAGGCTGAGGCAGCAGGATCACTTGAGCCCAGGAATTTGAGGTTGCTGTGAGCTAGGCTGATGCCATGGCACTCACTCTAGCCTGATCAACAGAGTGAGACTCTGTGTCAAATAAATAAATAAATAAATAAATAAATAAATAAAAGCAAATTCCTCCTAAGACATAAAAAAAGGCCATGGTGATGTAGGAGAAAGAATAGTGAAAAAGGAATTAGAAAATGTGTCTTCTAGTTCTGGCTGTGACCCTAAATGTCTGAGCTTGGGCGAGTCTCTTCCTTTTGGACATCAGTTTCTTTATCTGTAAAATGGGAAGCTAGATTAACTTATTAACAGTTTCTTCAAGGTAGACTATCAACAATGTCACCACAGTTGTTTTTCTTCCTTTTCCTTATAATGCTTTGTCCTAGCCCGATAAACACTCCACCTCAGTATGGCAGCCTCGAACATTTAATTGGCATCAAAATCTTTTCTAGGTCCTTTAATTAATACTTGCATATGTAAATCTACATAGAAATAAAAACCAAATTTTTTTTTAATCTATAACACCACGATATGTAACATTTCCCTCAATTGTACTTTTAGACTCTCTTTGTTTAGGCTGCCTAGGTTTTTCTTTCTCTCTCTCCAGCCTTCACCCATGATTTCCACAATAGGGATGTGCCAATTTTTCATTGTTGGGGAATCAACATCCCTCTTACCCACCCCCAACCCCCTTACATTCCTCTCCCTCCTCCTCTGGCTCCTGCCTCCCTCTCCCTCTTTGCTTTCTATTTATTTGTTTTTTATTTAATTTTTTTTTTTAAGACTAGTCAAGTGTAGTAGTGAGGAGGTGCTTTCTATTTATTTGGATGCTTATGGAGAGGACAGTTTGGGAGTTCCTTAAATCCCATCTGCAAATAGGAAGGTTCCTGCCTTTACTCTGAAAAGCAGAGCCAAGGGGAACAGCCCCACCCATTTACTTTCTCAGAATAGATTTATTACATGTTGCACTTTTTAATTAACAACCTTTCTGCAAGGTTGTTTTGAGAATCTTGGAAGTTGCCTCCTTTAAAAAAATCGATTCACTTCCAGAGCTTAAAGTGACACTCGTCCTTACATCATCAAATTGAGGAAGATTTTTTATAAACACCTAAATGTTTGGTATTCTCCAAATCTACCCTGCAAGCTACTGATTACTCCAGAAGATTCACTAAGAATTTTGAGTTTTAAAGGTTATGGAACTTACAGAAGATTAGAGGCTAGTGGTTATAAACCAGACATGATTTTGTGAGTCACATTACTTGGGCAATAAGTTATGGATGAAACTAAAAATATGGTCTGACAGATTGATGGTATACCTCTGGGCCACCAGTCACAGAACTCTGCAAAACTGGGCAAGAGTTTACTAATGCACTTGATTCAAATGGGCTTAGGAAAGCAGGCACACGCTGAAATGACTTGTCTGGAACAAAGACATGATTTGAGTTAACAGAAGGCTAAACAACATTCCGGGTCTCCAAGGCAGCAGCCGAGTAGTGGCAGAAAGGCAGCCAGAAGCCAGAAATTGCAGCCAAATCAAGGCAAAGGTTAAGCCAGGAGTGAGACCTGCAAGCCAAAGTCAATGCACTGATGGGTGCTTGTATCAATCGTTGGGGTCAGTCCATGCAACACACAGAAGAATTCCAGGGATGCCCAGGTACAGAGGGTTTGGAAACAAGGGTATTCAAAATTGTAGGGGTAGTTAAGAACTATGCAGAAGCCAAAGCAGGTAAGGTGGGCAGAAGGACACATACAATACCCCTTTCCTTAGGAGATCCTGACCCTGAAGCAGGCTGTCCTGGCCAGAGGCCTTTCCCACTGTAAGATGGACACCCCCTGGTTCAGGACAGCTGGGAGACTGAGGGAAGATGATCTCCATTTGCAGAGGGGGATATATTTTCATTGGAACAAATGCCCATTGTCCTGTTACTTTTTGGTAGTTTACTGAGGATGACCTCACAAAACAATAAGAGCAGCAAATTTAAAGGAAGCTTTTGAGCCCAATTCTTTATAGTGAAAAAATTGGACAACCAGAGAACTGGTTAAATAAATTTTTCTAGAGTCATACAGTGGAAAACTCTACATTAATTAAAAGTGAAGATATAGATATTTTTATATTGATATATGAAAATGTCTACAATCTTCTGAGTGAAAAAATGGTATATACAGAAACATGTATTATTTCGGTTAGAAGAAAGATTTGATCCTATTGGCACATATACACACACTTCTGTGTGCACACACAGAACTGAATTTCAGCCAGTACTCACTGGTAAGCCACATAGACATACTCATTGTGGATGACTAGAGTCTGTGTTCTGATTGGTCGGTGCCTTTCCTATACCAGTCATTAAAAATTTTAAATATCATTCTTATATATTTGCATGAGAAAATGCATCCTCCAGCTGCTAACTGTGATAGTTGGTTGGGTTTTGGGGATTTCTACTTTTTTCTCCATATTTTTTTATATTGTTTTAATTTTTCACAACTTGCATATGTTAATTTTACAGTCAGGATAAATAATAAAGTTGTTTTTATTTTGGAAAAAATTTTACAATATTTGCTTAAACAAAAAAAAGTTTCAGAAAAGAGCTTCTGATAGGAGTAAGAATAGCAAGGAAATTTCTCCTTTGGACTTTGAGAAATGTGGCACTTTTTATTAAAAATTATGATGTTTTTATGGGAACTGGCTTCTTAATTATGATACTTCCTTGCCTCAAATATCAAAACCTTGGGGTTTTTTTTTTGTTTGTTTGTTTGTTTTGATGAAATGGCTAGGCTGCTTAGGCAAATACAGTAAGCTTAATGAGTCTAGATTTCACAGAGACAGCTGACAAGTTTTCTTTTGATGTCTTTTCTGTCAAGACACGGAAACATGGGCTAGATGCTAAGAGATTTAGAAGGGTTTGAATAACCATAATCACAAGGGCCCTCCTTAATGAACTCTAGTGACAAGCTAGAGTATGATTTTGGGGTCAAGTTCTCGGGCTCTGTCTTCAGCCCTGTGCTGGCTAGTATCAATATTTAAATCAATGACTTGAGTGAAGATAAAAGTGCAAGGGCACACCTGTGGAATATGAGGTTGACTTGAGGTAAAGAGGAAGAATGGCAAATATTTTTGGGTGATAGAATCCAAAATGCCAGAGAAAACACAACAGGGATCGATGTCAGGTTCTGATCTGGGATCCAAAGACCCAGGAATGAGCGCAGGCTGGGGATGACAGGCTGGCAGCAAGGCTCAGGGACTTGGTTCATAGAACACACAACACGAGTCAGAAGTGTGATGAGGGAGCTGGAGAAGCTACAGGGACCTTGGGTACCATTTCAGAAATGAGGCATTTAGAATGAGGAAGGCTTAATCTTGCAGGACATGGAATGTCAGAGGCGGCAGCTATTCAAAAGTAGAGTGGGTGGCCTCATGAAGGGGTCTCAGCTCAATGTCTCTCCCTCTCCCAGCCCTCTCAGGAAGCGGTTAAGGAGATGATACAATTCTCCAAGGACACACTGGAAAAAATAGATAAGGCTCGCTCTGAGGGTTTGTATCATGAGGTAAGAATTCATTTTTTATAGAGGATGAGGGTGGAGAGGAGGGTGGAAAGGTTCTCTAGTAAGGGAGGGAAATGGGGTGCAGGAGGCTGCCAAGCAGGTTGTTTTTCTGGAAGATGTCCTTTGGTTGAGGCCATGACTCTTCTTGCCCTTCGGCACCTCTTAGGGGTGTGTTCTCAGTGACTATGTGACCCACTGAAACTGGGTTTGAGGGGAACAAAGGCAGCCGGCACATGTCCCTTGGGAATCTGTGATGGCTGAGCCTGACATCAGAGATAGAGGACAGGAGATGGCCGTGGGACAAGCTGGCCGTGGGTTGCTTGCTTTCCCATAACTGAATGCATGTGCTGGCTACAGTTTTCAGTCTCTACCAACTGACTGAGCATTCGAACTTGGCTCTTGAAGCACCAGGGATTCTCAGCTATGTCTACACTAGATTCACCTTTGAAAAATCCTGATGCCCAGACCTCCATTCAGAACAGTTTCACCAAAATCTCTAGGGGTGGGAATCAGACATCAAGATTTTTAAAGCTCTCCAGAGATTTCAATGTGCAGCCAAAGTTGAAACCCACTGCCTAACATTGGCCTGCAAATCATTTGCATTGAATTAACCCAGGAAGCTTGTTGGAAATACTGGTTCCTGTTCTCAACCCCTAAGATGTGATTCATCCAATACAGGACCATGAATCGGCATACTTTATTGTTTTTTCCATTTGTATTATATTTATTGTATTATTATTTTTATTTCTTTTTCAAATATTTTTGATCCATTATTTGTTGAATCTGCAGATGTGGAACCCACAGATACGTAGGGCTGACTCTGTGTATGTGTGTGTGTGTGTGTGTGTGTGTGTGTGTGTGTAGCTTTCATAGCTTCCTGCTACCTACTGACTTGAAAACTCCTTGCTCTGCTGTGTCAGCCATATCTCCCACCATTACCCTCCCCATCCCTATACTTAGCCAAATAGGACCATTTTGTTATTGAAATCACAAACCGGTGCTTTCCCATCTCTGTTAACAATTTCCCCAACCTTAAAAGAATGAGTGTCCAATGTCATCATGATGCTCCCATATGTGGATTTAGCATGTGCTCTGGTGCAGTGGTAACAAGCAGGACTATGTCTCACTCTAGGTTGTGAAAATATGCCGGGAGTGCCTGCAGAAGCAGGAGTCAGTGTTTGCTGACACCAACCTCTACATGCTGCGGATACTGAGCACTGTTTCGGAGGTCCTCTCCTACCTCCAGGCCTTTGAAGAGGCTTCCGACTATGCCAGGAGGATGGTGGATGGCTACATGTAGGTGATGATCCTGGGTCTCAGTCTCCTGGAAGTCTATTCCAGAAGTGGCAATTAGATAGCGCACATACTGCTACCTCTTGTTCCTGCACCCACAGCAGACATGAGTAATCGATCATGTCTCTCTTTATGATTGGGCCTTTTTATCATGTCAAGCAGTAATGACCAAACAACCAGAGCCAGTACTTGAGCTGAAATCTATCCCTGGTCTTTCCCAAATCCTCCAGAACAGCTATCCCTTGGATGACATTGTCTGCTTTTGATTTCCTTAAGGCTGAGTCCAACTTGATTTTAAGTATTTGGAAAGCCCTCCACCCCCAATAATCAATACAGGAAATTAATTCTGTGAGTTTTCTTTTATTATTATTATTATTATTTTTTTAAAGAGGCAGCAGTCATCCTTGCTTATGAATTGTAAAATGCAAATCTCTTGTCTTCTCTTGGCCAATATCCTCTCTTGCCTTCTGTGACCACATTGTCATGTGAATTTGTGTTTCTGGCCAAAGGAATAAGTTGGCAAAAGAAGGTTTGTTTCTTTGAGGGGGTGTTACTCATACACAAAATACAGGCAAACTCTGCAACACGCTAAAAGGAAGCCCTGCAAAGAGAATGCCAAGGAGGTGAAAACACAAGGCTGTCCCAAGAAGAACCTCCAAATTATTTTTTTCCCTTGACTTTCCTGTCACTTTCCCCAGAGAGTGCTGAGGTGCTCCTGAGAGGCCCCGGCTTCCTGTGCTCAAGCTCAGAGGACAATCCTGGTCCCGTTTCCCTTTGAGGACTTGGCTGAGTGGCCCAAGTCAGAGTCCCGGCTCTCACGTCCTCACTGTGTGGGATGTTGGTCTCTGTGCCTCCTCAGCAGGCCGCAGGACCGCACAGTGCGGGTGGAGGAGCAGACGGACTTAGTCAATAAGGGCACTTTATAAGTTGTCAGATGATACGCGGACAGATGTAAGGGCGGCTGGGACGATGCTCTGGGTGATTGTTTGCTATGCCCTGCAGGAAGCTCTACCACCCCAACAACGCCCAACTGGGCATGGCCGTGATGCGGGCAGGGCTCACCAACTGGCATGCTGGTAACATTGAGGTGGGGCATGGGATGATCTGCAAAGCCTATGCCATTCTCCTGGTGACACACGGACCCTCCCACCCCATCACCAAGGACTTAGAGGCAAGTAGCATCTTGGGGCTGGGCGCTCCCTGCCTGATCTGAGCTCTCTGAAGATGACAGTCTGAGTTCAGGTGGACTCTACTTTAGGAAAGTCTGTAGATTGCAGCTAGACCAGCAGGGAACTCGGAAACGCTTTAGCCCACTCCCCTTTTTTCACATATGAGGACACGGAGGCCCAGGGAAGGGGAGTCATATGTCCACAGTCACATAATGAGTTAATGGTGAAGCTGAGACTTGAACCCTGAGTCTGCTGAGTCATGATGCCCCAAGCCTGGACTGGGACAACCTAAACAATGGTGTGCATGTGTGTATGTATATTTGTGTGTGCAGCCACCTAGTTAGAGAGTATTTGGGGCTACACAGAGTGGAGTTTGGGATCACAGGCTCTGGAATCAGACTACCAGGACCGAGTTCCAGTTTCACCGCTTTCTAGCTGTGTGACTTTGCACATACATTGAATGTACGGGCCTCAGTCTCCTCATCTGTAAAATGGTGGGGGGCATAGGGTTGTGGTGAGGGTGCAATGAGTTAATGTGTGAAAAAACTTAGAACAGCTCCTGGCAAATGGCGCTGCTGGTGTCCTTTGTGCTTTGAAGGGCTGGTTTATTTGAGAGTGACAAGGCTGTCCTCAGACAGTGTAGCAAACAGACTTTGGTGTCATGAAATGTGTCATAGAATGATGACATTTAGGACTTGTGTGACCTCAGATATGGATGTCCTTTTACTTCTCAGGTCTCTAGTTTCCAAATCCCTAAAATGGATATAATACATCAGTGTCTCAAAGCTGACAGGAGGACCAAGTGAGGGGCAGAAAAGGGGGGTGGGGGGTAACCAGCTGTATGTCTGGTGTATTGAGCTTGTCAAAGGCAGAGTCTTTCTCGATCTTATTCACTGCCGTATCCTCAGCCCCTGAGCAATGCCTGGGCCTTGACAAACATTTCTTGAATGGACATACGGGAGAATGAGGGCCTTTCTGTGTGTCGCACAGTGTAATCTTCCTAACCCACTGTGAGGTACAAAGGAATCTCACCCATTTCATGGGTGGGAAAACTGAGGGCTGAAACAGTTAAGTCACTTCTCTGAGGTCCCACAACCAGTAAGTGCAGGAGCCAGGGTTCAAATCCAGGTCCCCAATGGACAGTTCCTGAGAACGAAAATTCTCTGCTGAGAACTATCCCTCCAGCTACTCTCCAAGGGTCCAACTCTCTCTCTCTCTCTCTCTCTCTCTCTCTCTCTCTCTCAGACTGGGCCCCCTGCCAGGATTTTAGGCCCCCAGTCTGTGTGTGTGTGTGTGTGTGTGTGTGCATGCATGCTGTGTGTATATCTTCTGAGGGGATGGAGTTGAATCTCGGTGACTGGGCGTCATTTACCCCAAGGTAGGTCAGGGACCAACATGTTTCTGTCCTACCTGTGTCCCACAGGCCATGCGGGTGCAGACGGAGATGGAGCTGCGCATGTTCCGCCAGAACGAGTTCATGTACCACAAGATGCGCGAGGCTGCCCTCAACAACCAGCCCATGCAGGTCATGGCCGAGCCCAGCAGTGAGCCAGCTCCGGCTCTGTTCCATAAGAAGCAATGAGGACCTGCCTGGTGGGGGAAGGGCAACGGGGCGGGGGACTGGAGAGAGATTCTGGAGGTTGGTGGGTCTAGGGGAGACCCTTGATGAGGAAGCCGAGGCAATGCTCAACCTTGTTGCTGTGGGAATGTTCTTCCCTGTGTTCCCCAGCGTCATTTTGGTTCAATTCAACTGAATTCACTTCAAGTTAATTCTGTCCCAGGCCAGCCCAATTCCTCCTACAAATATTTATTGGATGCTAGGCCCTAGCACCCAATAAAGGATATTCAGATGGAGTTGGGTGGGGAAGCAAAATGTAAACAAACATTTAAAGTGCAGCGTAATTAAATGCAGTGGGGAACTCTACGGAGGGGTGCAGAGGCTGGCGTGTGTCTGGGGTGTGTGCACATCATGGAGGGGGTGACCTCTGAGCTGAGGGCAGCAGGTGCCTGGAGTCCCAGGTGGCTGCTCTCCCATCTGTGCAGGTGTCTGTGGGCTGCTGGTCTCCCCTGGGGCCTGGTATATTCATATCTGGCTGACTAGGATGGGTGGTGTCCAGTTCCCTCAGGCTGGTGTGGTGTGATGAAGACGGGGCTGTGTCTGGGCCATTCAGGTTCTACTGGGAGAATGGAAACCCCTTCAGAATGTGCATATGCAGAGAGAGGGGAGGGCCTTGTCCACCTGAGGCTTCCATTAACATCTGGTTCCAAGTACAGTTCTAGAATTATTTCTGGAATACACAGAGAGGGAATGTACCTTCCCTACTTTCATCACCAAGCCTCGTGCCTCCCTGGGAGGTAGGGGCTACTTGGACACCACTGGGATTTTTCTGTCCATTTGCCTAGTAGAATGGAAAAGTCTTTTTGGGGTGAAGCTGAGAGAGAAACTTGGAAACACATATACCCAGTGATCATGGGTCCAGCAGAATTGGCCCTTGGGGACTTTATTTGGTTGCATGTGCCTGGGGGGTCTTTACCAGCTCAGACTTCATCATTGTCCCCAGCGATGCTCCAGCCTCAGTACTAAATCATTGTTCCTTCTCCTTGCTCAGTTTCTTTCTCTGTTCATGCCCTGGGGGCCTCTGCTCTTCTCACTAGAAAGAGCACTCTAATCTGGACTGTGCCATGCCTGGGTTGGGATCTCTCAGAAAAGGACTTACCCTCATCTCCTGGGAGTCTCCATGATTCCCATCTGAGAAGTGAGGGTCTTGGGAATCAACCAATCCCAAGGTTGGCCTGTTACCCTGTTATCTTCTGAGGCCCCACGTTTCTCACCAATGTTTTGGGAGATCCAGGAACACAGTTGTTCAGTTGGGGGTGTCATCAAGACTTCTACATGACCTGGGGCTACCACTGACCCTAGAGCTCTGCCTAGTGTCTTGAAGTCAAGCAATCCCAGCAGGTTCCATATTTGTTATCTCTGCCTGAAACCTTAGCCCCTTCATCTTTACCCTTTCATCCCTAGAATGACCCGCTGGCTCCCTCTGAACCTTGTCCAGTGGCTGAAAACTCTGCAAATGGGCCACCTTTTCACAGAATACATGTACCTGACATTCGGGTCTTTGGGGACACTCTCCTTTCTAGAAGGTTTTTATAGGAAGAATGACAGTTCTTTCAAGCCCCCGTACCACAGGCTTAGGGACAGCATTGACATTCTCTCAGGGACCTTACCGACACATTCAAATTATACTCTTCACGCTCATATAAAACCTCCCAGGAAAACTTTCTTCCCTTCTTTGTCATTGTCGTCTGCCAAGCCACCAGCCATTTCCCTATATTCATGGTCGTTTTTTCCATCTCATCTTCCAAAATTGATCTTCACCCATTATTGCTTCTGCATCCCAGATCCTCGACATTTCTCCACCCACTGCCATCTTAAGTGCAATCAATAAAAATGGTGCGGACTCTTGGATCATAATCTTCAAAGCTGAATATTTTTTTAGTTGTATAGTTATTATATGCCTTTTTTCACCTTCCATTTCTTCTTGGCTCCACTGCAGACTGGCTCCCACTCCCGCTTCTCTACTAAAATGGCTTTTACCAAGATCAGCTCTAGTGGGTACTTATTAGCCCTCCTATTTTTTGGCCTCTCTGCATCAATCGACACTCCTGGCCTTTGGTTTTTGTGACCCCACTTCCTTGTGACGATCCTCTGAGGTGGCTTCTCAGGCTCCTTCACTGGCCCTGTTTCTCTACCTGCCCCTGACACATTGGCATTTTCTGGAGTTGGTTTTGTCCTTGGTTCTTTCTATCCTCACTCTGCACACACCCGCTGCACGAGCTTAGGCAGGCTCTTTGTTTAATGACCACCTTGAGGCTGATGATTTTTAAGTCTGTATCCCCTGACCTTGCACTTCAGCCCCAGCCCCTCACAACCTCTCAGATGTTTGCAGACTCAGCAAACTCGGCATATCCAAAATGAGACTCTTATCTTTCCTTTCTCCCCTCCCCACATCTGTCCCTCCTCAGGACACCACCCTAGAACAGCACCTCCTCCATCAGATTGTGAGCTCTTGGAGGGTGGGGACTATTGTGTCCCTCTGTTCATCATTTTATCCCCAGAACCTAGCACAGGTCCTGGAACATGGTAGGTGCTCAGTAAATGTGTGTTGAATAAGCGAATGAATGAATGAACATATGAATGAATTTGCTTGTCTCAGAAGGAAGAGACATGGAACTGTGTGTATTCTGAATTTTTATGTAAAAGCAGTCAGCAAAGCCCATTAAATACTCTGTGTTTCCAAGAAAATAGGTGTGGCTTCTTTGTTTCTGATAATCTTTTTCAGAGGAGCAATGTCTCATAGAACTTTCTGTGATGATGGACATGTTATATCTGTACTGTCCACTATAATAGCCACTAGCAGCACATGCCTATTGAAGACTGGAGTATGACCGAAGAACTGAATGTTAAATTTTATTTAATTTCAATTAATTTATACTTAAATCACCAATGTGGCTAGTGGTGACTGTACTAGATTGTGTAATTTTAGAGAAATATTTTAGTGTAGTTTTTAAGATCATGGACACTGAGAAAAACCATTTAAGCTTGTCTTTATCTCAGCTCTCCTATATTAGCTATGTGACCTTGAACTGGTTATTTCACCCATGCCTCAGTTTTCTTAATTGCTATTTACTGCATAGGTTTGCTGCAAGGACTAAATTTCTTAAATGTAAAGCCCTTAGAACAGTGCCTGACTCATCACAAGTGCTTAGAGACTATTAGCTATTATTCCACTTTGAGCATTCCAGCCATGCGTCTGCTGGGTGTCCCTTCCCCCAGTTAGAAAGTGGAAGTGAAAGGTAGAGACAGGCAGTGGTGTGCTACAATCAGCTTGCGTCAGCACGTGAGAGCCAACCGGACACATCTCTTCCCAACTCTGCATTCATCAACATCACACTGACAACTTGAAATTGGCCATGGTGGGAATATTTATACCATGGTAATTGGCTTACCTTTAGAATGCATTAATTTGTTGTGTTGTCAGTCTATAAAGGGGTTTTACCATATGGGAGTAGCAGAATGGATAGACAGACCACTTAAAAAGTCTTCCCTTAAGGGGGGAGGGGGCGGGTATATACATACACAATGAGTGAGATGTGCACCATCTGGGTGATGGTCATGCTGGAAACTCAGACTGGTGGGGGGAGGGGGGAAAGTGCATTTATTGAAACCTTAAAATCTGTACCCCCATAATATGCTGAAATAAACAAATATATATATATATATAAAATAAGAAGCCAAAAAAAAAATGGAAAAAAACCCAAAAAACCAGATGTTAAGACAAAAATGTTAAAAATTAGTCGATTTTTAAAATAAAATCTCTTTAATTAAAAAAAAGTCTTCTCTTAAACTGGGGTGAAATTTGCATCCTGAAGCTTCTACTCCTTCGGGCTGCAGCAGACAAGTCTAAGACCTCCGATTACCAACCAACAAACTAAACCATCTGCCCACCGCATTACCGATGTATTGAAAAATGTGTCTTAAAGGCAGACATAGCCATTGCTTGGGTGAATCATTCAAGATTTTCTTCTCCAAAGAATACAGAACAGAAGAATATAGTTGGGGCACACGGCAGAGAGAAGAGCAACATTTCTAAAGGCAGTTGAAGGTCCAAGCTTCCCGACCAAGGGATGCAGGGCTGTGGATAACACCCAGTGCATGAGAGCCAACAGCCCTTCTAGAAGCTCTTCTGCCCCCTCCTGGCCCAGCATTACATAATTCATCACTCGGGCTCATTTGGGCTAGGAGGACTCATGTGTCTTAGAGAAGCACAGTATGCAGCAAGGCCATACCGCATTATATGGTCCCTCACTCTGCCACCAACCCAACCCTCATTTGTCAGTCCCAGCCTCCCCAGCTGACACAGCTTGGTCTGAGAGCAATCCGGCCCAAGTACAGTGCTGCAGTTCCCCAGATGTCTTTAGGAGTTGGATTTGTTTCCCATGGCTTCCGTAACAAATTACCACACAAATCTTGTGGCTTTAAACAGCACAGATTTATTGTTTTACAATATTGTTTTACAATCTGACCTACTTCTGCAGGCCAGAAGTCCAAAATGGGTGTCACAGGGCTAAATTCAAGGTGGTGTGTGGGCTATGTTCCTTCTAGAGGCTCTAGGAGAGAATCTGTCTTCCTTTAGAAGACACACATTCCTTGGTTTGTGGCCCAGCCAGCAATGATGTCACTCTGACCTCTGCTTCTGTCATCTCATCTCTGACCCTCCTGCCTGCCTCTTACACCGACAAGGACCCTTGTGATTGCATTGGACCCGCTGGAATAATCCAGAATAATCTCCCTGTCTCAAGGTCTTTACTTTAACCACATCTGCAAAATCCCTTTTGCTATGTAAGGTGACACACAAACAGGTCTGGGAATTAAGATGTGGACATCTTTGGGGGCCATTACTTGCTTACCAAAGACAGTGGTCTTGCTACCAAGCCCTCAGACTAAGCCTCATTCACCAAGGCAGGGTTTTTAAATTCTCCCTTTGTAGATTATAGCCCTTCCTCACTGCTTCCCCTCTGTTCACATGTGCTGGGCAGTTGTGGTGTGTGCAGAATCCCTTTATAGACCCAGTCCCTTCCCAGGCATGGCCAACAGTGGGGTCAGTGCAGGGAACTACAATTGGAAACAGCAGATAGAATTCCAGTCATGTGGCTTGTGTCCTTCAGTGGCACTTATATTTGCCCTTGTAGGATGCTTATGTGCATTTGATTCCTCACCTGGCTCATTACAGCAGGCATCCTCAAACTACGGCCCACGGGCCACATGTGGCCCACCGAGGACATTTATCCGGCCCACTGGGTGTTTTTGCCACTGCTGCCTGTCCTGCTTAGCAGCCGACTTGTCCCAGGCCCACAGTGCGCATGTGTGGAATGTGCGTCGCACTCTCCAACGGCCCTCCAATGGTCTGAGGGACAGTGAACTGGCCTCCTGTTTAAAAAGTTTGAGGACCCCTGCATTAGAGTATATGTTTCTTGGGGGGCAGAGTGTGGCCGTATTCAGGACCAATGGTGTTCGAGCACTTCGTACTGAATCTGCCTGTACATGAACTCATCACTTCCCTCCAGACCTGTGCCCTGCAGGTTATCGCAGATGCTTCCCTCTCCTTCACCCCTTGAATAGCTTTCTGCGGCTAGTCTTTTCAGACCAGCACCTCTTCCCCACTTCTGCTAACAGTTCCAGCCCTTTCTCTAGGGACTCTGTGCCATGCAGCTCTCAGGAGGCTGCTCAGCACAGGCTCATGCAGGACTCAGCCTGGACCTGTCACGGCACAGCCCTTCCCAACACACAGTGATGGTCTGGGAGTCAGTGGTATGCTGCTAAATATTTAACAACAATGTTAAGAAGAGCCCTGATTTGAAACATTTGCTGATTTCCGTGGCATAAACACTCCCACCAAGGGCGAACGTCCAGTACCAAGCCGTATGCAGAGTCGGGAGCTAGGCAGGACTAGTGGGTTCCAGCACGTACTGCAAGTGACCCAAGCCAGTCCCTCGACCTTTACGGGGGGGACTCCTGTCCTTCTGAATTGGAGAGGGAGTCCCTGCTCTTCTCTCGGGATTCAAGTTCTCAGTTCGTGACCCTGGAGGTGCTGCAGTCTCTGCCATATGGAGAGCCCTGGGAAGAAACATTGAGGGAGGAAAGAGGAGTTGGAAAAAAGAAAGAGAAATACTAATATTGTTGTTCAGGTGTGGGTCCACCTACCCTTTCCAGTTACATGAGCTAGTGAACTATGCCCCTTTGCCCCATTTTTATTTTTGGCCTAAGCCTTTTGGGTGGTTTTCTTTCCCTTGCAACTAAAGGAGCTCCCATTGTGTTAGTTTTTCTCCATTTCTCCCACATCCCTTCTCCAGCCTTCTCTGCCCGGCTCTGTGTTCAGGAAGGCTGAGCCAGGTCCAACTGGGTGGCCCTCCCGTGACTCCAGTAACTGTCCCCTGCATTGCCCCTTCAGACCTACAGGTGGGAGTGGCTTCCCATGGTTGCTAGGCGGGTGCCTCCTCACCTGCTTTACTGGCTTCCTTTACTCTAACCACACCTTTATAAGTAAATAGTCCTTTCATTGAGTTTCACCAGGAGGACCTTCTGAGTGTGCCCCTGCCTCCTGTTGATACATCCTGACTGATACATCTGCTGGTGGCGCTTCCTGCATTTAGTCACTAGAGCCCATTGATTCTAATTCCTAAATGCTCTTGAGCCTTTCTGTTTTGCTCCATCCTTACAGGTATTGCCTTGGTTCAGGCCCCCAAAATCTCTTGCCTAGACCACTGCCACAGCCTCTTAATCATCTCTCTGTATTCAGCGATGTCCCTTCTCATTGGTCCTTGACACTATGGTCAGAATGATTTTTCTACAATTCATTTAGTAACATTTAGTAAAAACCCCTCAATGATTCCCCACTGTCATAGGGATCAAGTTCAAACCCCTTGCCAGAGTAAAAGGATGTTCACGGAAAAGACTCTTCCCTTCTCTGCCTCCACATTTCCCTGCCAAGCAGATACCCTCGGATGCTTCCAGACCTCTTCTTTGTTGTTTTCCCAGGCATCACCCCCACCCATTCTGCACCAGGGTCTGGAGCTAGCACACACTGCATGTCCCAGGGATGGCTGTATCCTCAGGGCTTAACATTGCACAGCCCTGCCTTGGATGAAAGAGGCTCGGCTGTGCAGAGAAGATGCATTTAATTCCATGTCTCCATTTTTTTCTAGTAATAAGTACTAGAGAATCATGGGATAGTGACCATGCCTCTAGTATGTACAGAAAAAGTGCTCTGATGATTGAGAGCGGACTAAGTTAGGCCGCCCCCACCCAATCACTTTATTTATCTTAATAGCAGTCAGTTAAAAAAGAAAGAAAGGAAGGAAGAAAAAATAAAAAGATTTGTGTGGACATAGACACCAAAATGGGCAGTTTACAAACCAATGGGCTCTCACCGGGAACGAGCCCCCTCTGTTGGTGGGATGCTCACAGGACAGAAGGAGGGGAGGGAGGGGGCACGAAGAGGGGAGGAGCCAAGGTAAAAATAGCTAATAACAGCAACAGCTGTTTATTCAATTTATTTAAGCAGGCTTCGGACCCCGTACAAACTCTAAATTCAGCAACTATTAATTAATTCTCCTTTCCAGGCAAAATCGTACAAATAATTCCCTCCAAAACCGAGAGTTGTTCCCAGGGGAGGAGCCTCACTGGGAGGAGACTTTGGGAATTTTGTCAGATCCCTGGAGGCTTTGCTGAGAAGACTTAGTCTGTACTACTTTCTCCTCCTGTGGCTTCAGTGTCAAAAAAACTGAGTTTCGCCATTTATTGGGTTTGTGGTCCAAAGGGAACTCTTTTTCTCCCCCTGCCTCTGAATCTGCTTTCAGAGGTTAATTTCTCTGGGCATGACGGAGTTTCTGAGTATGGTCTGAATACCAAACCCAACTGACACTCCCTGAGAATCTGAAAATGGCACTACTGACTTGTTTTATTTGAATGGCATTTGACTTGCATTATTTCATGGGCTTCTCAGGAAAGCCAGGAGGGAATGTATTGTATTGCCCATTGTATAGGAGAGATAACTGAGGTCCCAAATTATGGATTAATTGGCTACAACCATTTCTTCAAGCCCAATATTTCTACTTTAAGTCATCTGCTTTTTAAAAAATTCATTGCTCATGAAAGAAATAGTTCCACAAAATAAGTTCTTTGCAAAAGATTCAAACAACATAAATGATGCAAAAACCTCTCTTGATTTCCCACCCAATTCTGTTCCCAGAGGTAATGGCTATTATTTTAGTATCAGGTGTCTCAAACATCTAGACTTTTTTCTATATGTTCACATATATATATATGTATACAAACAGATAATTTTGTTTTATGTTTTAACAAAATTTACATCAATGATATTATACTGCTGATATTATTCTGCAACTTGCTTTTTTAAAAACAGCTTTGCCTTAGAGATATTATATTTTTATATCAGCACATAGAGATCTACCTCATTCATGGAATCTATTGTGGATTATTTCATAGTATGGCTATACTACGGTTTATCTAACTCTTTTTTACTTATGAGAATTTGTGTCCAGTTTTGGGCTATTGCATGCTTTATATGTTTTTTTGTGCATGTGTAAACACTTCTGTAGGGAGAGATACAACAGTGGCATTGCTAGGTGTTAAGACTTCACATTGAAAATGTTAATGGACACTGTCAAAGGGTGTTCCATATCAGCCTCACCAGTTTATATCTCCACCACCAGAGGCATAGCTATTTATCCTGGGTATCATCAATCCTTTTACTTTCTACTAGTTTGATTTTTAAAATGATATAATACCTCATCTTGCAACCCTCCTCCCTGGCTACTATGAGACTAAACATATTTTGTATTATGAATTGCCTATGAATATCTTCAACTCACTTTTCCATTGACTCATTGGTCTTCTTATTGATTTGGGGAGATTTAAAAATTTTTTTTTATTATTATTTTTAGAGACAGGGATCTTGCTATGTTGCCCAGGCTGCACTCCTGGGCTCAAGGGATTCTCCTGCCTCAGCCTCCCTGGTAGCTGAGACTGCAGGCATGCACCACTGTTCCAGCTTTGGGGGATTTTTATACTCTGTCTATTAACCTTCGTTGTGTGAGCCAAAACATTTTTTAGAAGCTTTGTTTATAGTGTCTTTTTTCGTATAAAACATGACATTTTTGAGATAGTCAAATTTATTAATCTTTTCCTTCATGGTTTTTGCCCCTAGCATAAGAAAGTCTTCTCCATGTGAAGTTACTTATCTACTGTCATATCTATTTATAATATTTCATATTTATTTAGCTCTTTAGTTCATCTGGAATTTATTTTTGTGAATGGCATATTGTGGCGTTCTATTGGTTTCTTTTCCTTGTAACCCCTGAGTCTGAGTTCATACTGAAGTAAAGTAACTCTTTAAAGGCAGACAAACTCTTTTCTTCAGTCTGATTTAGTTCCCCAGATAATGGATCTCTTTTTTACACTCAAGACTCCACTGCAGGTGGAGAAGGAGAGCAAAGTGATAGTGCAAGGCAGGAGGAACTTCATTCTAAAACGCTGGTGCAGACAAAATGCTAGAGAAAGGGAGAGAGTGATTTCAGCTGAGCAATTTGGGATGCCTTCTTGAAGGAGGTAGCACTTAAATTACAGGGGGAACAGAGGTTTAGGTAGAGTAGAATGTATATTATAGGCTAAAAAGGCTGGGCAGGCTATGATTACAGGGCCAATAACATGCAGTCCATGGGCCAAATTTGGATGCCATCTGTTTCCTTACAATGTTTGAGCTAAGAATGCTTTTCACATGTTTAAATAGTTGGGAAAAAAATAAAAAAGAGTAATATTTTATGATATAAAATTATATGAAATTCAAATTTCAGTGTCAATAAATACAATTTTATTAGAACACAGCCACACCCATTTGTGCTGACTGCTTTTGCAATACAGTGGCAGACTTAAATACTGTGACACAGACCAAATGATCTACAAAGCTGAGAATATTTACTCTCTGGATCTTTACAGAAGTTTTCTGACCCCTGATATGGAGACTGGGATGCCAGCTTTAGGAGTCTGACTTGTTATGTAGTAGCCAATGAGGAAGCATTATGATTCGTCTTGTATTTAAGGAAGATGACTCTGTCAGGGGGCAGAGCTTTGCAGGTGAGAGAGAGGGGGTCCAGGAGGTGCCATGGGTAGCCAATGAAACAATCCAAGGAACAAGTAACAGGGTTTCAGCTCTAGAATTGGGAAGAGAGGAGGAGAGAAAGGTGAAAGATTCAGTCGTTTATCAAGGTTTGCTATGGGCTATGCACAGTTCTGGGTGCTGAAAGATAGTATAAAGCCAGGAATGGCACAGCTTGGCAGCTCTTTGGATGAGGGGTGTGAGTACAGTATTAGCTTGCCATTGTACCATGAACTGAGTGGCTTAAACAACAGATGTTTATTATCTCACATTCCAGAGGCTGGAAGTCTGAGACAAGGTGACAGTAGGGCCACGCTCTCCCTGAAGAAGTTAGAGAAAAATGCCTAACTCCTTGCCTCTCTCCTAGCTTCAAATAGGTCCTTGGTTTGTGGCAGCAAAACCCCATTTTCACATATATATCCACTTGTGTGTGTTTCTGTGTCCAAATTTCCCCTTTTTATAAGGACCCCAACCATGTCAGATTAGGAGCCCACCCTACTTCACCCTACTTCAGTATGACCTTGTTTTAACTTAACTAATTACATTAGTTAATTAAATTAAATTAGTGACCTAATTTCCAAATGAGGCCACGTTCTGAGGTACTGAGGGCTAGGATTTTGACATATGAATTATTGGGGGGATGCAATTCAACCTCTAACAAGTACCTACCCGTCTGGCCCAAAGTAGTGTTTGTGTTCAGGGGACGCCCTCCCCTTCCGCACTCTGCCCCTGCCCGTGGTGTGCAGCTTCCTCTGTCCACTGCTGGTGCCTCTCACTAAGCCCCTCCCGTAGGGGGAGAAGCTGTGCATTTAGTGGGTCAGTGCCTGACCTTTTTGCACCTGCCTGCTGGCGGGTGGGCGCTGTGGCTGTGCTGGTGGGTGTAGCTCTCCTTTGTTGTCCAGCCTTCCTGTTCTCTGTGCCCACAGGGAGCACCCTCAGGGCCAGCCCACTGCTCGCCCTCTTGTTCCAGCACCTTGCCCGTGTGACTGGAAAGGGAAATCCCAGGGCCACCGTGCAGATCCAGCCACACCTGGTGTTCCTGGCAGGACGCCTGAGTGGGCAGCATGGGTTCTGTATTCAGAGCGAGAATTACCCTTCGGACCTGACCTGTAACGTGGAACATTCGGGTTATCAGGGTTCACGAAAACATAGGTGATCTGTGCTCACTGACACCACCAATAGCACCCCAATAGCACCGTCAATGAAAAGCCATTGAAAAGAAAAGGTATTTTTTAAAACAAAGTCCACTTTATTACATTAATTTTACACAGAAAAGCAATATGAAATGCTGGCTTGTCTAAATTCTCTTGCTGATTCTCTTGAAGACAATGTCACCCAATGTCATGGTCTGAAAGCCAGAAAAGAAATCATGAAATGTTCACGTTGAATTGTAAAAACAAAACAAAACAAAAAGCTTACAAAACAGCCCCAAATATGCTAGCATATAAGACAACTCAAAGATTCTTTTGTTTTCTATAGGACTGGGGAAGGGTTGGCAATTCTTTCTTAGATCCTATGCCTAATTGTTGTCACTTCACTTCCTCACGTGGAGGGTTGTCCTCCCTTTGTCTGAAACCCTTCCTACATCAACAGCTGTTAAAGCAAGAGCATGCAAACCAGCCCAATCCGATCCAACTTCTCAAAGTTTCATTGAATGCCTACTATTCAACAAATGCATGTTGGACACCAAAGATACATGTACATGGAATCACCTAGGCACCTAGCCTGGAACACAGTGGGCACTGCATAATTGTACCTTAAAGCTGTCGAACCTACAAAAACATTGGATGCATCAGCTTTAGGCTTGTTGAGGGATGTTTCCTCCACCCCTACTGGTTCTCTGGATAAGACTGCTTTAAGGACAATGCATTTGGCCAGGGTGAAAAGGAGCCCCTTAGCTTCAGCAGCACAGAATGGCTGCTGCTTAATGGGGTCCAGCCCTGGTTCTACCACTTACTAGCTGGATGGCCTTGGGCAGGCCAACCTGTCTGTTGAATCCCTCGTCCTGCCTCTAGTCTCACAGGAGACTAGAGGATTAGGCAAAAATGGAGTGTGTCAAAGGACGTTGGCCAGGACTCAGTCCAGGACAGCTCGTCTCCTGCCCCCTCCTGCACCCCTGGCTGGGGTGGGGGTGAGCATCGTACATTTTGTGGTTGATGCTCACACTCTCTAGTTGAAGGATTTTCCCACCCATGTCAGGGACATGTTACTGAAGGAGAAACACTGCGCTGTTCACTCCTGAGCTGAGGACAGGAGCTGGCCGGCAGCCAGGCCCGAGGATGACTGCACACCTGGACTGTGCCAGGGCTACAAGCTGCCACAGTCTCACGAACAATGTGATTCTGCTTATAACGCCAAAAGGGCAAGGGCGTTTATGAGGTGCCTGGGCTTGCAGGGCAGATGGAGGCCCCTTGTGGTTCATCAGTGAGTGCTGAGGCAGAAGGGAAGGGTTATGGCTATGAATTACCATGACCTCATGAAATAGCAAAGCTATTTTCTAAGAACTGAACTTTTGGCCAAATAAAGCCTTCCTTGCATGCGGGTGCTGCACCAAGGGAAGGGCTGCTCTGTGAATCACCGAGGCCGACAGGAGGGCTCGGTGAACGCCTGCGGATTGAGTGGATTTCTGCCCTCTGGCCTGTGGGCGAGGCTTGTGGCTACATCCCAGTGGAGACTGAAAAGGGTGACCTGTGCTGGTGTCTCTGCATGTCCTACCAGGCGCCTCTCCTACTGCATCCCATTTGGATGTTGGTCAAGAAAGGGGAGAGGCTGGGGAGTGGGTGATGAGGAGGGAAGGGAGGGGGGAGGAGGAGTGGCTGACTCCAACTAAAGTGTGGGGAGGGACAGCCAGGGTGGGGAACCCGGAGAGGTAGGGAAACACCAGGAGGGGCCACCACTAGCTGATGTGTCCAATGCTTTTGGTGCATTAGAAAAGGTTGCCTCTTCCTCACGACACCGTATTTCTCTCTGCTGGAAAATTACCCTAATATGCCACGCTGGTTTTGTTAGAACAAGACTGTAGTAAGTATGCAAATTTACACTGTCTAGAATGTGTAGTGAACACTGAGGCTGGCAGCTCCGTGAGACAGAGCTGGTACAGAAGGGTCCTGGCCCAGTTTCTCCACTTGGAAAACTCAGGGTTCGGCCGGGCGTGGTGGCTCATGCCTGTAATCCTAGCACTCTGGGAGGCTGAGGCGGGAGGATCGCTCGAGGCCAAGAATTCGAGACCAGCCTGAGCTAGAACGAAACCCCCCGTCTTTACTAAAAATAGAAAGAAATTAATCAGACAACTAAAAATATATAGAAAATATTAGCCGGGCATGGTGGCGCATGCCTGTAGTCCCAGCTACTCAGTAGGCTGAGGCAGAAGGATTGCTTGAGCCCAGGAGTTTGAGGTTGCTGTGAGTTAGGCTGATGCCACGGCACTCTAGCCCAGGCAACACAGTGAGACTCTGTCTCAAAAAAAACAAAACAAAACAAAAAACAAAACAAGACACAACAGAAAACTCAGGGTTGTTGGGAAGATCACCAATAATGTGTATAAACTGCCCGATACACTATGGATCCGCAGTAAGTGGTAGCAGGTATGGACGATATTGTCCAATAGGCCATATGGACAATAGGGAAGGCAGGTGTTTGGGAGTGAGCGTACAGTGGTGGCGACACGGGGTGTGTGAGCTGCTCCTCACGCTTCTCCTCTCCTCCCTCAAGCCCTGGGAGCCATAAGCTCAGGGCGCCAACTTACATTGGTGATTGTGTCGCCATTGAGCTCGGTCACGGACTTGATGTTCTTGAAAGTTGTCACCAACTTATTACCTTCCAGCTGAACCACTGCCTGCAGGCGACAGAGAGGTGGCCTGTGAGGAAGGGCGTGGGGAGGGAGCAAGGCCCTTGCTAACAACAGTGATTGCACCTGTGCAGGTCTCAGCTGGCAACCGCCCCAACGCTCCTGTTCCTACACCCTCAGCCCCCAGCTCTCTGGCTCTACACAGAAGTGAGGTGCATTTAAGAACTAAAGAACATCAGGACTTCTTTTGTCAGAATTTTAATCATGGCATTAATGAATTTAATTTATGGCAGGTCTAGAAATAAGCACAGAACACCTAAATGGTCCCAAATACAAATGATAAAATAAAATCAAGTAAAATCTCAATTGTACAAGATATGGAGGGAGGTAGTGGCAAAATTTAAAGCATTGGCCACCTGAGAGAACACATATTTTGCTTCGGTATGTATTATTCTTTCCAGAATACTAATCTTTCCCATCACGATGTCCTTTCCAATCCTTATACAACCAGGAAGAGGTGACAGAAACACAGCAGAGAGAAGACAATGGCCAAGGTTAAAAATTTACCTCCAAAATGGATAATTGGAAAAGGCCTGGGATAAAACCCCTGATGGCCTGTCCCTTACTGTGGGCACATCAAGAGAATTCCCCTCCTAAAATTTATCCTGACCTGCACTGTTATATTTGGAGAGGCAGAAATAAAGAGCGACCAGAAGAGATAAAAAGACAGACAAGCTGAGTCCAGGGCACAGAGCTGGGGGTGGGGACTGCAGTAGAGAAGAGGGCTGCTGGCGTGTGCGGCGTCTGCGAGGGAGGGAGAGACAGGCACCCCAGTCTGGGATCCTCTGCCACTGCCTGCCGTCCACCCGCACAGCTCATTCCCCAGCTCTCGTCACACGCCTTGAGCTGCAGCCCAGCGGATGCGATGCTGCCCTGCCCACTGCCTTCAGTCTGAGAAGATTGACTATTCCCATTATATAGATGGGATAGTCGAGGCCAGGGCTTAGTGACCACCCCTGAAGGCTTGATCTGAGTGCCTACTGGGGGCCTTGGTATTCTGGTGTCACCAGCACCTCCTCCAAGAAGTCTCTCCCCGTCACCACCTGCTCTGGCCTCCCCATCACCACCAGCAAAGGCCAGTTAGGGTTTTTCGCTGAACCCCATTTACCCTGCTGCTGGGACCTGCTTAGAGGACTTTGAGAGCCAGGAGTGCTAGGCCTGGGAGAACCTGAGACCCAGAGTCCTGCTCTGTGCCTGGTTCCCCCACATCCTCCATATGGGACAGCGTGGATTTGGGAGCCTGAGCACCACCAAGACAGTCCTCGGGAAGATGAGGGCAGCTTCTCTAAGACCTTCCTCCCTAAGAGCTGCCCTTGTCTCTCTGCTTCTCCCACCCCAGAGGCTGGTTCAGAGATGGGATATGTGTGGTGGGAATTGAGATGTGGGTCTTGAGGGAGGAACCCAGGTTCCAGGGAAAGTTCTAGAAGAGAGGGTGGCCAGGGGGGGACCCTCCTACCTTGACCTTCTCCCCTGTCATGGTCTCCAGCTCACACTCCTCCCCCAGGGTGAACTCGTTGTGCATCACTTTGGAACCGGTGGTGATGGTGAGCTTGAAGTGCTTCCCGTTTTGCACGATTTCTGACACCCCCTTGATGTCCTTCCCCTTCTGGATGAGGTCGTCAGGCAGACCTGGGAGAAATCGTCTGAGGTTTAGGGATGGGCAGAGGTGGGAGCTGCACAACCACGGTGGATGAGAGAAGCATGGTGGCATTGGAGGGGGGACAAGGGAGGGCGCTCTGTCTCCCCAGAGGCCACAGAAACTCACTGTAGGTCCGAGAGCGGCGTGGGCTTTGGCCTCTGAAAGGAAGGGTCAGCGGCCTGGCCTGCTGCTATCTTGACAGTGCATTTATAAAAAGGACACCCTTCTGGCCTGAAGAACCTTTCCTCTTGTGAGCACCGTGGGTCTCACTCACTCCCTTCTTCATTCTTTCTTCTTTTAACGACTTCGCTCTTGGAGCATATTAAACCCCACACCCAGGGTGACCAGAGAGTTTGCCTTCCAAACCGGGTCACTTCTGAGAGTGACGGGGGAACGATTCATAATTATGGTAGGACAGCGTGCACAGAGCAGGACTGTGCCAGGCAAACCTGTGTTCTCCTCTGCAGTCAAGGCTTTGGAGGAAGATGGACCGCCAGTACCTTGCCCTGATAGGGCTTTACAAATGCCAGAGCCTGTGTGCACTGTTATATAAATGGAGTTCACAAAAATCATGCGGGTCGACAGTGGGAGTGGAGGGTCCTGCTGCACAGGTGAGACACAGCGGTGGTGTGGCGTGGCTGCAGAAGAAGGTATCAGCTCCCAAGGTCCTCCCCTCCCTGGCCCTGCTGTCTCCTGCACCCTTCTCCCTCTCGGCACCCTCTCGTCACGCTGCACCCTCTGCTCCCTCCACCTGGAACACGCTCCCCTCCCCCAGTTCCCTGGCAGACACCTGCTTATCTTTCCAGGCTCAGCCCAAGACCCCCTTCCCCTCCCAAGGGCCTTCCCTCCACCACCCTCCTGTACGTGACCCTGGCAGGCATGGGGTTAAAACGAGTTTTCTGGGAACCAGCACCTGCTTCCAGTCCCAAGGCAAACACTTCCTGCCTGCATGACCTTGGTCATGATTACTTAACCTCTCTAGGCCTCGGTTGCCTCACTGTAAAGTGGGAAAATAATACCACCCAGGACTCGAGTTTTTTGTTAAGGATGAAATGGGGCATTGCATATCCAGTGCTTAGCCCAGTGCCTGACACAGTCAGCACTACACACCTTAGTGGATATATCACCCTTATTTCTTCTCTTCTTCTCTCTTTAAACTGCAACCTTGAAAATGTAGCCCATCATTATCTGTCCCTCTGGTATCCCCTTAGCACAGTGCTCAGTGCTGGTTGGCCTTGGATCAGTGTTTGCTAGAGGAATGAATGCGTGCATGAGTGCGTGACTGAACGGACAGGACCACGTACTGAAGTACCAGCAGACGTGGGCATCAATCCAGATCACACCCGAGTCCAGTGCTCTTTCCACTTGCCTGCGGAGTGGCTTTGTCCAGTGAGTAATAGCATGAGCCGCAGGTCACCACAAAAGTCGACAAAACGCCCCTTAGTCTGTGGGTGGCCTGAACCTCTGCTCCCCTCTCAACATCCAAACCCTGAATAGCCACTGCCGGACTGGCCGGACTGGCCGGACCCAGAGCCTTGGTGTCCAGCCTTGCACTCACCCATTGCCTTCATGAAGGGTTCAAAGTTTTCCTGGCTCTGCAGTTGGTACTTGCCGGAGAAGTTCATGGTGGCGGTAAGGCTCCCTCTCTACAGCTGATCCACAGCACTGCAGGTTAGACTTGCCACTGTGGGCTGTTTTATAGGGGGCTCATTTCCCTTCGAATATTGACCAGAGGTCAGCAGCTGTCAATTCCTTTATGGCCAGGTTCAAACATTAACTCCTGAGAGCAATGGTCAACAATAAAGGTCAGGATGGGCACGGCAGAGGTTTGCCCTCAGTCAGCAAACAGTAATGAATGCCAGCCGAGTACAAAGCCCTTGGCCCTGCAGCCTTTAAAGTGAGTCACCACCCCTCCCCGAAATAAGTGTGTATGTGTGTACACACACACGTGTGTGCATATATGTGTGTTATACATATGTGTGCACATGTTTATATGTTGTGTATTTGTGTGTATATATGTGTATATGTGTTGTGTGCCTAAAATGTACACACATATGTATATGCGTGTGTATATGTATTTGTAAACATGCGTGCCCACATGTGTGCCCACACATATGTGTGTCTATAAAAACACACAGAAAAATATCAAAGACTTACTTTGAACTCAAACCCTCATCTTCTTTACATAATCTTATGATTTCTTCCCACCCTTATCATCACACAAACTTCATTTTTAGAGTTGTCATCAGCCCCCAGAGCGATTTTGTATTCTGGGAATCCCTCCCTGATGATTATAGGCCGCCGCAGTCCGGATTTAAAGTGTTAGGGCAGCACATCTAGAGGGCAGCGTGTGGAAACTGAGATCTGCTAGGCAGAGGCGAGGGAGGGGCAGAGGGAAGCTGGTCCCTGCTGACTGACCCCATCCCCTGCTAGCAGGGCAGGACGGGGGATCTGAGGTTATACGCAGGGAGCCCCTGCTGGCAGCGGCCTTGGGGAGATGGCAGGGCAGCACTTCCAGAGGCTGGGATGTGCCCTGAGGCGCCGAGAGATGTGGAGCCCAATGGAGGCACACCCCCCACTTCAGGCCTCCGAGGAAGCTCTCAGCAAGCACCGGCCCGGCCCGTAACCCGCCAGCTTCTCTCCCTTCTCTGCCCACACTTTGGCATCAGCCTCCTTGTTTGCAGGCTCCAGCCTTTGTCCTCCGGCCTCCTCCGGGCATGAGCTTTTGGCAGTTCCCATAGTTCCAGAGACCGCAGGTCCTGGGTAGCCAGGAGAGCCCTAGTGTCACAGGTACCATCGTGACAACCACACCCAATAACACTCCTACCTTTCTATCAGGAGCTCTGACTTTTGGCTTGGAAAATGATTCCATTGCCTAAACATTTAGCAGGGCTGCCATCCCTCAAAACCCAGCTCTGGTCTACCTCTCTGCCTTCGTCCCTCCTCTCTCCCCAGGTTGTGGTTCCAGTCACAGGCCAAGTGAACAGGTCGTGGGGTGGGGGCGGGGGTCCGTGTCTCTGTGTCTGTGCCCAAGCCACACTCCTTCTAAACACTTTGAGGCCTCAGGTTCTGGCTGGGCAGGAGGCTGGGGACATGTGAGTGGATGAGAGCTCATGCCAGTGGGCGTCGACACCACGGGAAGACACGCATGAAGAGTGTGGGACCAACAGAGGCGTGCCAGCCCACAGGAGTGGTGTGCTCTGCAGTCTCTGGACCCCACACACCCTCCACACTCCCCAGCATTTGGACATGTTGATCCAGAAAAGCACTTTAGATGTCCTCACCTGAACCCACAGGCCCAGTGCCAGGGCCCTTCTCTGCCATCTGTGACCAGTGGCTTTAGCGTGCACCCTGCCTTGGGGAGATCGCCACGCTCAGAGCGGCGTGGGCAGAGGGCACTCGTTGGGCACACAGCGGTGCAGATCCTGGCACGAGCACCCTTTCCCTCCAGCGCAGAGGGGCCTCCTCTGACAGTGGCCGGGACACAGAGTGCTGCCCAGGCCACGCGCTGGGCTGTCCCTGTAGGAAGCTGAGCAGGCTTACATGTGAGAACGCACGGCCGTTTCTGTCACCACACTGCCGGGCACCAGGATGGGAAGGGGCAAAGTGTCTGAGAGCATGGTGGGGACACCCGCAGTCCCCTCTCTCGCCTTGCTCTGAGCCTGGATTATGGGGCTTTCAGCGTGCCTTTTTGTACTGAGGGAGCCCATGTTAGACTGTGATCTCCAGGTGGGATATTGATTTTTCATTTTTTGTATATGGAAGGAAGTGAAAAATTCATTATTTTAAGAACTCGCATGAGAATTCCTCTCAGGTGTGTGTGTGTGTGTGTGTGTGTGTGTGTGTGTGTGTGTGTGTGAATGACTGGATTAGCTGCTTGGGAGACGGGATGCTTGAGATCCCACACCGTGTGGCGGTGAGAGCTGAGCTGGTGAAGGCAAGGGCTGTCCCTTGTGCAGGAGACAAGGAGAGGCCTGTGGGTGTCCTTTCCCTCCTCCAGACTGCGGGCAAAGGGAGAGGGCGCAGCAGGCAGGGAGGAGAGAGACCGGCCAGATGGCATGGGGTGATGGGGCACAAGAGATACCCCCAGTGGCCTTGAGGCAAGAAGGACTCCAGGAAGGCTGGTGTTGCCTTTGAAGCTGCTCGCTTGCTGCAGAGTGAGTCCCCATCCATCTTTCTTTAATTCTCTCCCTAGCTGACTCAAAAGCTTCAGTAAAATACCATACTGCAAGCAACACATGTGCCCGTAGAAGATGATGAAGGGCTGGCTTTCATTTCTGGATGGGTGTGACAGAGCTGAGATACTGCACCTAGAAGCAGTGCCAGGAAGCAGAGTATCCATAGGGGTCCATTCCCCCTAGGGGTCCCCAGGTCCCCAGAAATCATAGGGAAGGCTTTGGAGGGATTCAAGCTCATTTGATCTAGATCCCAGTGGGTTACATGTGCCACCTGAAGCCTGGGCTGATAGCTAGCCTATGTCTGTCTAATGAGCACGCTATGGTTATAGCCGGGGCTAAATTCCAATCTATATCTGAGGCCCCACCCATGCCACCTCACCTACTACCTACCTCAAGAATTCTTCCAACATCTGCCAGGGAGCTAATCAGCAAAAATCTTGCTTACACGGGAAGCTTAAGAACTCTGCAGCCTGAAAACAATGAAATAATCACCAAGGAAAATGACAGGACAGAGTCATTACCACCCCCACCCCATCCACCCATCAAGTGCTTAGCCTGGGAGAATCTACTGGCGTAGCACTTCCTGCCTGCCTTGTCTAGGCAGCACCTGCAGCCTCAGAACAGCAGCGTGGATGCGACTGACGCAGGCTGGTCTGGGGCTTGGCACAGCCAGTGAAGACCTGGCAGCTCCCCCTGGCAGATGGGCAGCTCGACGGGGGTGTAGGCAGGTAGCCCAAGCTGGCAGACACAGGGCCCGGCTCCCTCTCTCTCCTTATCCTAGATGTGGCCATTCTTAGGCAACCCCCAGTGGCTTCCTTTAGTCCAGTTTTATTTATTTAATTTTTGGTGAATTTTGAGGCCACAGAGATAGGTAGCCATTTCAAAAATTAACACTTGTGAATGTTTTTTCTGTAAAATTAGGAGAGGGTAATGACATCTTCCACCCACTGGCTGGGCAAACACAAGAAGAGATAAGCTTAATTGCAATAACAAAGTTCAAGTGGCTTTCAAGATTAAAAAAAAAAAAAGACTCCCATTACATGGGCATAGCTTTGGATTCGGTCAGCCTGAAGACTCTGGCCCCTCATTCCCTACTTGACATCCCTCCCCTCGGGCTTCCTACTCAGATGGGCAGTGTGGGAGGGGAGAGGGTGGCTCTTGGTGGCAGGCTGTGGCGGCTGTTCAGTTCTGCACTGTGTCTGACCCGAGTGCCTGCAGTGCCAGCTTGCCCATTTCCCGGATGTTTGGGACACAGGAGGTGCCCTGAGGAGCTATTACCTTTCCTAGAGGCAGGGCTGCAGCCGAGAAGGACAGCTCTTCTTTTTACCCAATATGTAATACTAGCACTTTGCTGAGGCTTCACTTCCTCATCTGTCAAAGGTCATTGCATTCTTTGCCTTGTGAAAGAACTATATAGATGGTCAAGTCCTTCAGAAATGCACCACTCCTGTCACAGGGCATCAGATCACTTTGCATTTGCATCTGCCAGGTGTCCCGAGGGTATAACCAGCCCAGGACCAATTTTTATGTTTATCTCCTGGCTTGGGGACAGGCTTCCTTCCCATCTCCCTGGGCCAGTGGGTAGTGTCTCCAGTCCCCGCTTTGCTGGTGGTGTAGCTGTGTCTTTTGCAGGCCTGAGAGCCTCATCTCCTGCTCCCAAGGGCCAGGAAAACCAAAGCTCCTGGCCATCTGGGTCTATTTCCAGGTCTGGCAACCACCTTAGGTGTCCCAGCCTCAGCTCATTGCTCACTGCTCTGACTTTCGGTTCCTGGAATCTGGGGATTTTTGTTTCTTGTGATCTCAGTTGAATATGTGAAAAGCTGCTATGCTACAACCTGCACACGCTAGCTGTGCTGTGGGAAGAGTTTCCATCAACTCAGTCAGCCACGTGTCAGTCCTGGAAGTCTTGTGCTTTTACCACATGCTGTTTTAAATCCTTTTGGTAGGATCTCAGTATGTACGTACCTCAGCAAAAAAAAAAAATTTTTTTCAAAGATATTTTTAAGCTTTATTTTACATATTCCTATTTTGTCTCTTCAACCATGGTAAGTTCCTTAAAGAGTTCCCCTGTAACAACCGTCGAGGCCCTAGAATGGGACCTGCCTTAATGAACCATTCAATATCCTCAGCATTTTTAGAGACACACTTGCTTAAAGAATCTGTAGGGGCAGGGGACAAAAATAAAAATATACTCAACAGAAATTGTGGGTGGTGCTTTAACGCTGTAAAAGCAACCATACTACACAGACTACACAGAAAAGTGTATGCAATGAACAAACCTTCCCCTCACACAATAACTTTCTAGGAATGTCCTTGTATGAGGTGAGAGTGTGGAGAAGCCCGTGGATGGCATGGCAAGCAGTGGAGATAATGTGCAGATTGAAGTGATCAAGAAAGAACTCAAAACTTATCTGCAAGGCTGACTCATAAGGGCCCTATTTTGGCTGTTATTTATTTGTTCTGTGTCTCTGTGTCCCTTGCCCCATGGGGGCTGAAAGCTAGTCCAGTTGGCTTCAGTGTCAGTCTGACACTTCAAAGAGAGAGCTCGCCTAAGCA